AGATATGGCTATCTGGTTGTTGAAGCACAGAACTTGCTGGTGTAATAGTTTTTGCTCTGGTTTTGTTTTAAGCTTATTTCATTTTATAACCCATACAGGGTCTCTTGACCTGATGTGAACTGCAATTATAATATTTATTTACATTAATTGTTAGTTTTGGGCAAGTGTGCACTGTGCAACTGCAGTCACACATTAATCCAATCTGGAATCTTCCCCTTAGATGAACATCTTCTTACTGTTTTGGGGGGTCTGCATGTCATACATTTTTATATGCATGAAACTTCTAAGTAATTCACACACTGATTGGTTTACTAATGCAAGACCAGGTTCCTACCAGAACCTTCCCTAAACTCAGTGGTATTGTCTTGGTATTGTCAGACTGAAATTTTCTGCTGCTGCTGCTCCAAGCAGCAAGCTAACTAGCAAATTCTCATTTATGAAACAGAAATAACAGAAACTGGCAAAATGTCAGAAATACATGCAACCTAGGTACCTGCAATGTATATGTAAGCTAATAATCAAAATAAAGAAATCTACTGGCACTCTGCAGTCATTACAGACTCAGACTGAGCTCTACTGTTGGACGTAGTCCTTACACTTCGCATCTGATATGTAATTGCATTGATAGGAGATTTTTATCACAGTTAGTTTAACATTAATGTCAAGATTTTTTTATTTAGATCATAAAAAATGCTGATGTATTTGATCTGCTGTCTCTTTACTCAGTTGGATCACATCACTATCTGTAAGCATTTACATAAATGTAAATATTACGTCACTCAGGCATTTCACTCAGGCATTTCTTATAGCTGTTATCAACTTCTTTATATATGTATATATATGAAGTATATGTACGAGTGTGTGTGAGTGTGTACATGTAAATGGTGAACATCACTTGAGTAATAAGAAAGTTATTATGGCCAATTTAATCATGAGAACTCATCATATCTCTATACATGCGTATCTGCTTACAAGCGAATCTTGACTGCTTCAACATGAGAGACGTGCAAATGTACTGCCGCAGATTAAGAACAGACAATGTGGCATCTATGCATTCATATGTATGATTTCAACTAGCCATCACACTAACCTGTTGTTGAACATTATTACTAGAGCAATTTTAACAAGAAATGGTGATGATTCAATCACTGTCTGTCTAGAGTTAGACTAAATAAACCATTTTATGAGGTCCCAGTACGGTTAAAATGCTGAATACCTACACAGCTGCCTATGTAGGTGATGGGGGGCAAAGCAGCTCACTCGGTATTGAGCCATGTCCATAGTGTAGCTTTCTATAGCATTTCTTAAATATGGCTTTCCTCTGGCTTTTTTGTCAGATTCAACTTATCAAATCTTTGAAAAAAACAAACTATTTTGATGTATTGTGCCAAATATCTACCAAAGTAGTGCTCGTAACTGTCATCCTACAGCAACAAGACTGCAACAGACGCTTGTTTCAAACTACAAGCCCATGCACACAACTGCCATGTCTACTCCTACTGTATTAAACGCAGTAAGGTACAGTTGACCGTGAGCATGTGCGCACAGTGGCAGGGCTGTGTGCGACTTGAGAGTCTGGAATGGAATACTCACAGGAGCAGCATGATTCAGCAACAACTTAAAACAAGAAAACCAGCTGACAAGGCCATTCTGATGCCAGATTCAGGCATTTACAAGAGCACCAGGTTTGGAAAGTACATGTGCAGGCACTGAAACAGCTGTAGGAAACATATGAGACACTGCAATAGCTCAGTAGCTAAACATCAGATGAACCAACATCTTGTTGCTGCAGCAAATTTTTTTGACGGTTTTGAGAGTTCGTTATTAGAGCAAACAGGCTGTACAGCCAGCTGGGTCACACAAAACCCAACTTAATAGATCTACTATATTATTAAAATACTTCTTGTAACACTATTATGTACTGAAAAACAGGAACCTAAAATATACAAACTACCTTGTACAAACTGCTGTGAATTTACAGCAGAAACACTGCAGTAATCTACAACGTTCTGTAAGTACAGTAGACCACTGTGCATTCTGGGAGATACACAAGTTTCTTGCCAAAGAATTTAAGATTATATTTTACAGCATTATTGTATTTTACGATTATATATTCTAAGATGATTAGCTGTTTTTTTGCAGAGCATACTAAAAAAGTGACCCATCTCTGAATACTGTAGCAATGTGGGAGTTCCCAGCCTTTCTTGTGCTTTTGTTAGCTGCTTTTATTTTTGTTTTATTTCAACTTACTTAAAGACTGGTGCACGTAACTGAGATCTTGTGTCTAAAGAGCTACATTTAGCTAAAATTCAACAATATATAATGTTTCCCTGAAACCTTTGTCAGTAGTAAGGTATCTATAGTAGACTACTGTATTATGTAATTACAGTATGGTGCAATGGTGACAAACCTGACTGTGAAAACTACAGTTAACTTCTGTAACTTAATAAAATGGAGCAATGCTCTGTAACTGTGAACTGCAGCACAAGTTCAGCAAATAAACAGCACTATACTGGAGAAACTGCTGCCAGTTAATTTTACAGTTATTTTTTACAGTGATGACCTGTCCAGGGTGTATCCTGCCTTCCGCCCAATGACAGCTGGGATAGGCTCCAGCACCCCACCGCGACCCAGAAGGATAAGCGGTTTAGATGACGTGTGTGTGTGTGTTTTTACAGTGATACTACATACTATCGTCATAGTTGGTATCCCTCCTGAAAAAACACAGCTGGTCTAAGCTGGTCTCTGCTGGTTTACGCTGATTTAGGCGGTGACCCAGCATTGTCATCCTGGGTTGACCAGCATACCAGCATCAAAACACAACATATGCTGGTTTTGCTGGTGACCAGCCACTCTGGTCTATGCTGTTTTTTTACAGAAGCAATCACACTGTGAGTACCAGCAGATTTGGAGCTGCGTTACCTGTCAGGTAAGGATGAGGATGAGTTAGACTTTGGACAGGTTTGGTCCAGTCCCCTGTTAGAGAGTTCCCCAGCCAAATGCTCATTCTGCTGAAGACTTCTTTATCAGCATGGCTGTCATGGACATGCAGAGCTTCATTCTAGTCAGAGACAGAGTTATGGACAGTACAGCGTTTTTACCACATTAATTTGATCCATATTCACCAGAGGATTACAGAACAACATCACACATTTCCTCAAACTGAGCATTTAGCTAAGTCAGGAACTTTTATTATCTTAAAAGGGTGACCATTTCGAGGTTTGAGGATAGCAGAGAATGATTACGTCGACCATCACTTTCTCACAAGAGCAGTTGCTCCTCACCGTAGAGAAGGAGTCAGTAAAAGGGCACATGGCGGCTAATGAAATCAATGTTGAGGATGTACAGAGACTCGCAGGCTAACACGGCAGCTCCCATATCGAATTAGTACAGAACTGATGTCTAAGAGAAAAACTACGTAAAAAAAAAAAGCCACTCTGGGTCTTAAGCTTAAACACCAACTGTACTTACCCAGGAGAAGGCCATGTCTCACTGAGCTAACATCACACATCATCCTGAACCAACCGCCACCTTGATTAGACTCAGACGCTGCACGTCCTCTATTGTTGTTCTACGCGCCCTCAAAGGCAGCTTTCGGTTTAGCTCGAAAAAAATGACAAGAAACAGAGAATGTTCGAAAGACGTTACAGCTACTCTGATTAAAAAAGTAGAACGTGTTCTCAAGACGTACAACTGCTTTACTAACTTTATTTTGCCCAATTAAAGGGTCCCTCATGGTTTAAATGAAGTGCTGAATACCAAGTCAAACCTAAGTCCGCCGAGTGAGCCTTTTTAAATGAAAACAGCTCTGATCCATGGCACGTCTGAGGCGTTACCAGTAATGCTATGAAATTTGGGCCTTGTACAACAGTTGAAGAGCTTAAAGGCTTTTCTTTACTGTAATATTACTGCTGTCATCTATTTTTCTTTTTACCTTTTCATTAACATTGCATTTATGCATCACCCTGGCACATGCCCGTGTACACTAGAATAATAAAAGCACTGAAAAGAAAAATATCATAAATATCGCTGATGTTAATGACAGGACAACCATTATGAACATGGCTGACAGCCAGTACATAACAAGGTGCAATTGGTGCTTTTAGAAAGGCATATTACATGTTATTTTTATATTTTTGTCATTCTTTTCGGCATCTGAATTAATTAGCAGGCCTACAAATGTAACAAACCAGGAACTAACAAAAGTTACAAAGGAGGTTTGGCTGGTTTGACACATATTTTTTGTGATTGTTACAAAGAATTTTAGAGTAATTTCCTCCATTAGCATGAGTTTAGTTGGGTTTGTCAGTTCTTTATTGTAAACATTACAAAGCCAGCAACTAACGTTATAACATATGTTTGCCTGAGAATGCTACATCAGTGCAGAGTCCTCACTGCTCATTCTCCATGACTGAAAGTAAACAGGGTTAAAGTAAACAGGTGAAATATTTCAAGTATTACAAAGATTATTAAGAAAAACATCCGCTTGCATACTGTAATGAAATTACTTCATTACCTTCCACCACTGACCATTCATTTACATTTTCTCCACAGCGTGTGGAAGCAGATACCTGCCCTACAGTCTTGAACCATCCCACTGAAATGTCTTGTATGTCATTTTAAAATGAAAATCAGATGTAATGTTGGCCTGTTTCTCTACAGTGAAAGTCTGGTCCGCCATTGAACTGTTTGAAACAGAAGCACTGCAGCTGTTCCCAAAGCTATAAAGGGACCCCCACACCGTATATATGCTTCAAGTATATATGCTTATCTATATGTCTGTAGCCTATATAGTGTGTTTATGTGGCTATGAGACTTGGCTATGTGCAATAAAAACAAGTATATTCCTTAACAAAGTATTAGACAAAGTAATTGTCTATGATTCTATACATATTTGTTTAATACTGGCCTGACTTTGGGCTGAATGTACTGAAAAAATATACAAAAAGTACACAAAAAAGTATATAAAAAGCCACTGTCCAAAATAGTATAATTTAGGGAGAACTTCCACTTGTTCCATTAGTGCTCTGAGATCAGGTCGTGTTCTTTCTGGCGTGATGCAGGCCTCCGTCAGAAGTTCCATGACCCGCTGACTGGGTTTTATATCCTCACATGACGCTGCTCCTCTAACTATTTGCAACAGTGCCCTCTGTTGCTGGAGTTGTCATGAAGATGTAGGGCAGACTCACATTGTTTATCTTGCTGTGCCGCCATCAGTCTAGAGACACAATACAATGGTGATGTTTGAGTAGTTTGTACAGATCCTGTCCTCTGCATGGGTCTTTATCACCAAACTGTGACTGTTTCACACAACAACAACTGGAACATTTGTGTCAAAATTTTAATTCTGTTTAGGTTTTACTGTAAACATGTGACAATAAACACATTTCCTGTAAAAAAAAATATATATACCTGTGAAAGATATTATATACACTTATCTAAACTTTAAAATAAAAAATGTATGTTATGGACAGGCACAGAACTATTTCACACCTTTTGACTGTTATTTTTATATAATAAATAACATAAATAAATTGCAAGATGTATGCAAATCGTGTGTTTTGTGTTAAACTACAGGTAATGCACTCATTACTTCGAGCAAAGCCACTATCAAATGAGTAAAATACAATATATTAAAATTAGTTGTAGGCTATAGCATTTTGTTTTTATTATTATTAAGATTGAGTCAAATATAATCTGTCTATGTTAATCTAATTTGGATATAATTTATATGAAATTCAGACACATCTGCCTTGAGGACACGAAAGTGCATGTTTACCGACGATGATGCGCATACGAAAGAACTGCCTTGAAATATCGCTTCTACTAAACAAACTACCATGTTACTACTCTAGACCAGGGCTCATCAGTTCTGATCCTGGAGGGCCGGAGTCAATCTCAGTTTAGTGATTTACCTGCTTAACACACCAGATTTAACTAACTAATTTAGCAGTTAATTACCTGGCAGGGAAGAGCAGGGAAATCACCAAACAGTGCTGGACTCTAGCTCTCCAGTACTGGAATAAATGGCTGCTGCTCCACTCTAGAATCTTACCGAGCCAGGTGTGTCATGGACCTCTGTATATTATGGCCACTCTTAGCACTGCATTCAAAGAATTCTGCCTGGTACTCCTGAAACACAGTCACAAATGATAAAAAAGGACTAGAGGAGAAGCAGAATACAGATAGGAGTGTTTGTGTGGTTTATCACCTCAGCCAGTTTCTGGCCCTGTCTGGAGGTCACTTGTCTCCTTCCCCCTTCCTCCATGTCCGTCTTATTGCCTAGTAACATCAGACATGCTCCCTCAGCCATGTTTTTCTGCACAAAGGATGGACTCACATTAGAATAACCAATTGTGCAACCAGAACACAGTCCACAAACTGGCATGCAATATTTTGTATTGTCAGTTAATCTTTCCAAATCACTGGACATCTTTATGTTCCAATTTGTTGTACTAACCTACCCGTAGGAATGCAAAACTTCCTGAAAATGCCTCATTTGCATCTCAAATTGGCCTCACCTGAACTTGGTCTAGCCAGTTGCGCAGTGCTGTGAGCGAGGTGGCCTGAGTAACATCATACATGGCCAGGATTCCATCGGCCTTGCGGTAGTACTGCTGAGTGATGCTGTGGAACCTGAGACAGAGGAAAGAAGAGCTCTTCACTGCTGAAGTGCTTTTCATTTCTGCGATTTAGATTTACAGAAATATTGTACTTGACTAGCCCTTTAAAGGGGAATTCTACCAATTTTGAAAAAATTCTGAATGATTAAATAGTTAAGTTGTAAACCAAGTCATTCATAGTAGTTTGGTGTGAAATGCTCCATTCTAAGTTAGAATGGAGTCAGAATTGTTCACAGTGGTGGGGACAGAGTTTAGTGCCTCTTAAAGCTCACTAATAGAAAGTTATGATGAACATGAATTTTACTTGAATATTACATGATACCTGACACATTGTTTCACACTAGTTTTGAGATAAGATTTCGGTCTAAAACATGTCTGTTATATACAGTAATGGAGGAGAGGTACAAGCAGGGCATTCTAAGGCAAAATAGTGCCCCCCAATTTTTTTTTTTTAAGGTTTACCATTACTTTACCATCATCAATACTACAAATAAAAACTCAGAAGACGTGTAGCTTCACTGGTGGTTTTGGATAGTAAATAAAATGTCTATATTTGTATTGTAGATTGTGATTCCGGGCAGCACGGGGGCGCAGTGGGTAGCACTGTCGCCTCACAGCAAGAATGGCCTGGGTTCGATTCCCGGCCGGGCACCAGGGTCATTTCTGTGTGGAGTTTGCCTGTTCTCCCCGTGTCTGCGTGGGTTTCCTCCGGGTACTCCGGTTTCCTCACACAGTCCAAAAACATGCTGTCAGGCTAATTGGACATGCTGAATTGCCCCTAGGTATGAGTGTGTGTGTGTGTGTGAATGTGTATGTCTGTCTGTCTGCCCTGCGATGGACTGGCGACCTGTCCAGGGTGTATCCTGCCTTCCGCCCAATGACTGCTGGGATAGGCTCCAGCACCCCACCGCGACCCAGAAGGATGAGCGGTTTAGATGATGTGTGTGTGTGTGTGTGTGTGTGATTGTGATTCCTGGTTCCTATCACCACCACTGTAAAGAAATCTGAGACAGTAGATTTCTCTACAATGAACCATTTCACATCAAACCACTCAGAATCTCCATGTTTACATCTTTATGATTGATCTTTAAAGAAAGTGGTGGAATTCCCCTTTAAGCTCTAGGCTTATTAAGTTGGCTTGAAGCTGGTTCTTTGTTTTATTCTTATTATTAACCAGGAATAGCAACCACCTGGGATATCATAGTAGTGGCCTAACAACACCTTAGCCCAACCAACCACTTAACAAATACTAAGCAAAGCCCTAACAACAAGCTGGAATACAGCAACCACATGGAATGGCTATATAAACCCAATGTAAAGTTTGTTCACAAACTTTCCTTTTCTAGCAATTAAGATGTTATCCAGTAACTACGACGAATTATCCATTAACTGCTATAAAACTAATGTGTAGTTATGAGCATGAAGAAGGGAAGTCTGGACCCATCAAGGGGTTTAAGGGGTTAAAGCAGTAATTTATTCCAGTTTTTCTCTTACCTCTCCTGTCCTGCTGTGTCCCAAAGTTGAAGAGCAATATGGGTGGAGCCAAGCTCCAGACTCCTCACCTGGAAGTCCATTCCTGCCAAGCAAATGCAAATGATTCTTTGTGTTGGGAGAAGCTGCTCACCACTGCATCTAACCAGTTTTGAGTTATCTTGCTTGGGATAGGTTCTTCTTCTAGGCAGCAGAAGCAAGACCAGTACAGGCAGGTGTTAGAATTGTGGCTTACCTACAGTAGCGCTCATTTTGTTAGGGAAATGGCCTCTGCAGTAGTGGTGAATGAACGAGCTCTTGCCCACTCCTGAGCTGCCTAAAAACACCACCTTAAACACACGCTGAGGGTCAGCCTGAGAAAGAGAACAACAGGGTTACTGAAACAGAGAAAACTGTACCATGGTAGGCATAGAGAAGACATAACTCATAATTATTTTAATATTTGGCATTTGATTAGATCTGGTAATGTAGAATGACAGTAGTTCAACAACCAGAAGGTACTGTGAGAGAGAACGATCGAACTCAAAGAGGTGTCATTCAGGCCAGTTTAATCTTCACTTTCTGCCATGCAAATTTCTAAACTTCTGTATTTGCATGTTATATAATAGCCTAGCAAATTCTTTCTTTCTCTCTCTGTCTCTCTGTCTCTCTCTCTCTCTCATAAAAAAGGATGCAAAGCAATTTAAAAGATGTACAGAAATACCGTTTTGCTGTCTAGTAGCGTGACAGCTCTCTGGTTGCTCTCTGATAGTTGTGTTGTCTCTGCTGCAGGGATCACATCAGGTGAGCCATTCTTCAACTGAGTGGCAAAACTGAGCTGCCTTAAGCGTCAAGGAGAAAACATACCAATCCTTTAGAGCATACTCCTCAGGCCAGATACAAACAAAAGCACAGCACCGATCAAATATTGGAGTGCACTTACTTGGAACCAGGCTTTATATTAATAGTTATGGTTGTACACTGCATAAATTGTCTAATCACTTAATATTTCAGTATGTCAGTACTGTCCTATCAAAACGTTTTACTTTTCTCTTTTCTTAGACCATATAAAATGCTATTTGTCCTTCGAGTAAACATTTTGTGACAAATGGATTGATAGAGAACTTTGAATGCAAGTCAATATCAAGACTTTTTCCCAATTAACTTTGGTCCATTTACCATGAAATTTACACATAAAGGGCTACTTGTATTTTTAAATTATGTAAAAAATTAAAAATGCCAAAAATGGAGATATGAGGTTTTGTTCTGACATGAAAGATGTGCTATTTATGCATTTTAAGAAGTTAATCATAAGTGAATTGCATATAAACCTTTTGTTAATTAAAATGGTACTGCATATATAAATACTTTGGTTCAATGGGTTAAATCGTATAAGAAGTTTGTGAATTTCAGTGACGCACCTGCTGACAGGCTTCTTGGCCAGGAAATAATCCCCAATTATTGATCCTTTCTTCTCTAAAGGTCTCTTCATCTTAGGTGTCTATGGAACAGTCCATGAGACATATTTTGTCTTTAGGTGAAATCAGGAGTAGAATGCAAATCATTCACAAGAGACATAACTGTACACTCTTCCACTGAATAGCTATGAATAGTATCTTACTATGTACAAGAGAGGGTTAAATGTGTGTTTCTTAGGGCGCTGACCTTTGGCTTTAATTGTCTTAGTAATGTGTCTGTGTGTGTACATGCTTGTGGGTATGCATTTGAGTCTTGTGCAATAAGGACACGGATAGGGAACTGTACCTTCAATAAAGACTTTTATTGTGCACTGTGGTGGTGCTGGAAAACACACCCATTTGTTCATAACCTGACTAGTTTCAGATTTACAAACTTTGTCTCCGTTTTGTTCATGATAAGTCCGATTTTTTCATTTGAGAAAAAAAACAACCTGACACAGAGAAATCAGCAACAAAAACATAAATTAATAAATTAAATTCACATTATAACTGTGTGCCACGAAATGGTACAGATACATAATGGACAGACATAAAACGGATAAAAAGATAAATAGATTTGTCCTGTTATGTCACTAATTTTTACATAACACCTAGCAAACTGAGTTAGAGAAGCAATCATTCAGAGCAACTGGGCCAACAGTCTCATTTATAGTGTTCCCCCAAGACAAATAGGAGTTATCTCCTGGGTGGAGTTTCTAGTGATGGTTATAAACATGCTGGAAAAGCAGTTGGGTTTCCAAGTAGTTCAGAGTAAAGTTGGGGTGGATTGAATGAATAAGCAGCTCCCATCCCAATGGTAAAATCAGTTATCTAGCACTCTAGCTGTGAAACACACTGATATTTCTTATGCTAGTACATCCTGAGCCTTTTTGCATATTTTAAGTGTCACTCTTTAAATAACAAAAATAATCTAAACTAATGTTATAGTGAAATAATCAGGGAGAAACACTGTTGAGCTTTCTGTAACAGTTAGAAAAGAAAAGTTGTTTTTTTCCTACTTATCTATTCATACAAAACAGAGAACAGCGATTACATTCACAGCTCCAGACTGGCCTTCAAATGTGTCCTACCCTGTCTTTCCACTTAAAAGGAAACCCATCACATGTCCTTGACTTCACAGCAGTTATGTGTTCATATTCTCATAGTTGTTCATTGTTTTAGCTTGGGACTTCTGCCTCTAGATAATGAAACGTCTTGTAGCTTTCAAGTAGGTGAAAGGCCACGGAGGGCCAATCTGACTAATGCATCTGAAGACTCATATCAAACCATTTGGTTTCACAGATGCAGATTAAACCCAGTCCTTAACCAAAAAGACTTTTTAACAGACTCACTGGAAAACTGAAATCCTTGTCTGAGTAACAGGGATCAGGTACGCCATATCAAATCCACACTTTTGCCTTATGTCAAATAAGCATCAATCGTCCACAAGCTCATATCACAGCAACGTGCAAAGACTGTGAAAGAAGGTGAAGATTCACTGGTTTCTGCTGACCAAGGACAGACAGGCACAGCGCTGCCCACAGCATTACGTCAGAGACTAGGAGCAACCTCATCTGCACCAGCACAGAGTCCGGCTCAGTATGGGTAAAAGGAATACACCCAGGGTGGGTTGCCATGCCCACAGTTGCACTGTGAGTAAGGGAGGATAGGAGGCATGAAGGATTGTCTGTGACTAACCCTCTTCTGATCCTGGTGTGCATCTTTCTCATCCCGCAGGCGCTTGTTCATGTCCCTGAGAAACAGATAATGATGGAATTACATCAAAACAACAATTCAAAGAATTTATAAATCATCTACTTTGGTCTTTGGCTGTTTCTGCTGTTGTATATTTGGCCCATATAGTGTTCTTTAAGTGCTGAAGAGAACCACAATATGCTGAGAAAAGCATACTGTGATGCAATTTACCACAATAACCATAAGACATCATCATATTGCCCACCCCACTACAAGGTAACATGTTTGGTGTCCTTTAGAGGCAGAACCTTCAGCATTAACTTGAAAACTGTCTCTAAATTAGCCTAGTTTAGTTAGTTGTAGTAGGCCAACCAAATTAACCTTTTTTTCCCCATTACACCAGCCACAATGACTGTGGCCCCTCTTTCCCTCCAATCCCTCCATCAATGGAAAGGGATCACCTTAGGACTACTGCTGACCAGATATTATTGAGGTGATTTACCATTCTAAGCACAGCAGTGACACTGATGTTGTAGTGTATGTTGCACTAATAAGAGTGCATCAGGCACAGCAGTGTTACTGGAGTTTTTAAACATCTCAGTCACTGTCGGGTTGAAAACCAAAAATATCCAGCCAACAGTGGTCATATGGTCAGAAACTGATGGACTAGAGTAGGACTAACACAAATTGATTGAAAAAGGTGAGCTATCAATATGTGTAACTGTACACTTGCACAACTGTTCAAAAGTTTGGAATTAATGTTTTCAATAATATCAAACCAATATGGTTGCATACAAGTGAATAAAATGACTAACATGCTTATCCTATGAAACATCCTATGAAGGACACTAGGAAGCTGTAAAATTAAAGGGAAGGTAAATATTAAGTACGTCCAGAATGATGAACACAACTGTAGAAAATTCTAAAATGACTGATAAAGCTGTATAGCATCAAGAATTCAGTTCTAATAAAATATTGAGAACTAATCATATTTCAAAAGTGGAACTCAAATCTCAAGGCAAAAAAAGTGATGTACAATGTATTATTTATCATTTAATAACTTTCTGTTCATATAACTCTTGAAATATTTAAATACTGAAAACATCTAGAAAATATCTTTTGGCAAAGCATTTATAACATTTAAATTCACACTGTAAACATTATTATTCTACACAGAAATTGTCAATATGGCAAGTGATTCCAAACTTTTGTGTGCGGTAGTGTAGCAATGTGGCAGGTGTGTCTAATAAAGTGTCCAGCAAAGGACTGAGAACAGTCAATTACCTAAACAACATCTAGTCAGTTGTGGTCTTATGGTGGTCTCTTACTACTGGTGGACAGGGCAGAGCAGGGTGATAAACTGTGCACCCACAGATGGGCTACAGTCAGTAATTGTAAAACTGCGAAGTGCACCTACAGTAGTTTTTTCTGATAAAGTGGCCAATCCATGCAGATACAAGGCATATGTACCTAACAAAGTGGCCACTCAGTGTATATATGGGCTAAATTCCAGCAGAGGAACTCCCTTCTCTGTGTGGTCTGTTATCTTGTTCAGAGGTTATCCGTGGGCAGGCCCTGAGAGAGCTGCTGACCTTATTCAGAGCTAATAACACCCTTTTAACTACACATGATTTCCTTGTCCTACACACTGGCGAGAGGATATGGTTCGGTCCATGTGCGCACTGTAGAATACTCCCCACCTTATCTCACTGATAAAAGCAGATAAAACTGAAATGGGCCATGTCCTGTACAGACACACCACTGACACACCTACACACAATTACGTGTAATGCAACACAGCCAGGCAGGCCTACCTGAGCAGATCCAGCTGCCTCATCAGGCTCTCTCTCTCTTTCTGCATGTTTCTGGAGACTTTCAGCACTTCCCTGCTCAGAGAGAGCAAAATGGAAGTAAAACATATGGAAACCAAATGTAATAAAAAACAAAACAAAACAAGAACTAGAAGTGATAGAGGAGCATTATTCAATAGGAAAATCCACCTTGGTTTATTGTAATTTTATTGTTTATTGTAACTCATTTTAGCAATTCTTACAGTCTAAGACAAGTGTGAGATGGTCGAAAAGTAATGAAAATATTCAAGAACATATTTTTCTGTATGTTCTTACAACAAGGTTTTTGAATAATAATAATAATAATAATAATAATAGTAATAAAAAACTCAGCTTTTTTCTTAGGTATGTAGTTAAGAAAAAAAAAAGTTACACTTAAGAAGATTCTCTTTCTTAAGACACTTTTGTGAATTTGGCCCCAGATGTCCTAAGCATTTCACGCCTTTTAAAGGTACCTCACAGAAAAGTACTACACAAAATAGTTATGAATATGCTGTTTGATGGCTGAGAGTTTGTTTCACAATAGTTTTGAAGTAAGACTTTGGCATAAAATGTATTTCCTTAATCTATTCATGGTAGAGAAGCAAAATAGTCTCCAAAGAAAACTTGTGTTTTCAAATTTACTGCTATTCTACCAGATGACATATAGGTTCACTGGTCATTTTGAATGGTATATATTTTATATATATTTGTGCTGTTTACATCGCAGCCCCTTGTTCCTATCACGACCACTGTAAACACTGTAAATTTTGAAAAAGCTGTGGAATTCCCCTTTAAAGGAACAGTAATAGTTCGGGACTAATTTACACAATTATCCCTAAACCCATATAAAGTGGAATGGCCAAGACATGTGTGCTGTCTGAAGTTTGCTTTTTTAGTTTTGCACTGGAGCTATGAGGCTAATGTGGAAGTTTATAGCCACTAATTAGCACTATTTATCTCCATATTAAATGATAATTCAGGTAGAAAGCCTGGGCATTTCTGGGCTGTCTCTCACCTCTGCTTGCCCTTGTGCTGTTGTGTGATCGTGTCCTGCAGCAGCTGTAGCTGGCCCAGGGCTCTCTGCAGCTCCTCCCGGCTCTGCTCCAGCTGATCCCGCAGCTCAGCATTCATTTGCTGCAGCTTTTGGTTCTGCCCCCGCGTGAGCATCTGCTCCCGACCCAGCGCCTCGATCCTAGTCTCCAGCTACAGCAGGAACAAAAGAGTGTATGTTCTTTTGGAACTAAGGCTATGAAATGGGTTGGAAATGAGTGAATGAATGTCATGTTTACCTCTTTCTGTTTGGTAAGTGTGAACTCTAGTTCCTGCTCTCGTGTCCTCAACTCCAGCAGCAGCTGCTCCCTTCTATCTCCCTGCTTCACACTGTCCTTCATCAGAAAATCATCATCAGTATTATTATCATGCTGTCCATCAAAGTCCTTTATCAATATTTTAAAGATAAATTAGGGCAACTGTGGTCTTGGAGGGCCAGAGTCCAGCACAGTTTGGTGATTTCCCTGCTCAAATACACCCACTAAACCTGGTAAATAATTGTTGAGTTTGATCATGTGTGTTTGAGCAAAGCAGCAAACTGTGCAGAGCTAAAGCCTGCTGGATCAGCGGTACCTCATTAAATACTACTAAGATTTTCTCCCCGTTCATCAAGACCTACCAGAGCCTGTCGTTTTTCTCTCTCTTCTTTGATTTGGCTCTCCAGATCTTCATAGAGAGAGCGCACCATTCTGTCATGGTCATCCTCTCGCCTGACAAATGGGACAAAACCATAAGTGAGGTAACACATGAGCACTAATTTAAAGAAATATCCAGTCCTGCTACTGCAACACCACAGGACAGTCCATCAGCATTTGTTTAGGTCCAATTGTTCATGTGCAACATTGCACAAGTAGAGGCACCAATGCAGCCCATGAGGTTTATGGAATTGCTTATTGTTGTGATCAGGAGTTGGGTCTGGTCAACATGTTTTACACTGTCTGAGACAAGGTTAGCAGTTTCTCCTACAAATCCAGGAGGGCTGTATAAGCAGAAGTCCAGTGAGGGCTAACCTGCGCAGTGCCTGTTCCAAACTGTCCCTCTCCCTCAGTGAGTCCTGAAGATGAGCGACGGCATGAGAGAGAACTTCTTCCAGCACACTCAACAACTCTGGTTTGTCCCTCTGCAAATCACACCACAGAGAGCACAGCTCCCACTGACTACACACACACACATACACACACACACACACACACACACACACTTATGAGTAAATCTACAACAGAACTCATTGATTTTTATAAAGTTCACTTGCATATGTGGTTTCTGACACTGAAGTCATACTTTTCTCTAAAACATTTGACAAAATTACACTATATAGCCTATATCCACTACATGTGGACACTGTGACACTGCCATAGGATGCCATCTTTGCCAAAAGACAGTTAGTGAAATCTCTGCCCGGCTAGATCTGCTCCAGTTAACTGCAAGTGCTACTATTGTGAAATGGAAACATCTAGGAGCAACAATAGCCCAGCCATGAGGCAGTAGAACACACAAACTCACAGAGCAGGGCCACTGAGTACTGAAGTGCACGTAGCATGCACAAATCACCTATCCGCTATTAAATCACTCACTACAGAGATCCAAACTACCTCGAGAAGCAACATGAGCAGAAGAAACGTGCGTCAGGAACTTCATGAAATGGATTTCCATGGCGAAACAGCAATTTGGTACAATGCCAAGTGTCAAATGGAATAGTGTAAAGCACATTGCTACTGGACTCTGAAGTAGATGAAATGTGTTTGCTGGAGTGATGAATCACGCTTCACTATTTGGCACTGTGAAAGATGAATCTGGCATTGGTGGATGCCAGGAGAACACCCCCTACAAGAATGCCAAATGCCATAAGTAAAGTTTGGTGGAGGGAGGATAATAGTCTGGGGCTGTTTTTCAGGGTATTTCTCGGCCCCTTAGTTCCAATCAGGAGTAATGTTAATGCTACAGCATACAAAGATATTTTAAATTATTATATGCTTCCAGTTTTGTGCCAGCAATTTGGGAAAGCCCTTTTCTTGTTCCAGCATGACTGTGCCGCTGTGCACAGAGTGAGCTCCATAAAGACATAATATGACGTGTCTGGTGTGGAGGAACTCCAGTGGCCTGCACAGAGCCCTGATGTCAACCCACTGAACACCTTTGGGATGAACTGGAACGTCGATTGTAGGCCAGGGCCTCTCATCCAACATCAGTGCCTGACCTCACAAATGCTCTTTTGATTGAATGGGCATAAATTACCACAGAAACTCTCCAAAATCTTGTAAAAAGCCTTCCAAGAAGAGTGGAGGCTGTTATAGCCACAAAGGGGAGGGGGCAACTACATATTAGTGGCCATGGTTTTGGAATGAGATGTCTAACAAGCTCATAAAGGGGGTGATAGTCAGATGTCCAGATACTTTTGGACACATACTGTACATTGCATAGATACAATGTTAAGGCATTATTTTATATTTTTGTCCCTTATTGTACTTTTGTCCATTTATAGATTTGAAGCACATCATGTTTAGCAGGCTAAAAAAGTCTTTGAAGCAATCACACAGTGCTGAGATCTAAACTTCCATTACTTCCTAGCTATATTAGCCTCATAGCTCCAGTGCTACATATATTCCACTCACTCTTTAAAGAGTTTATCTGCTCCGAGCTCCATAAGAGTCTGTGTGAATCTGATCTCTGCTGGATCCACTCCCCTCTCCTTCTCCTCACACTCCTCCACTCCTACCAGCTCCCCTGAGAGAGAGAGAGAGAGAGAGAGAGAGAGAGAGAGAGAGAGAGAGAGAGAGAGAAAGAGAGAGATATAGAGAGAGTTCTATACAAAGCCTGTTGGCAGTTTCCGTGTACCATGGCACTGTATGTCACAACAAACACAAACCAAGGCCTGTGTGAAACTCGAGGGGAGTGAGGAATCCATTTCTGTCTCGATCCAAACTCTCAAACACAGACTCCAACTGCTCTGGGGTCAGAGGCAGCTCTCCCTGTAACCGCTGACAACACACACCAAGACAACGTGGTTACAGCATGAAACACAACACAGACAAATGAGCTTCATTTATAATTCTTGACAAATACACTACCGTTCCACTGTTCGGAGCCACTTGCTATACTAGTAATCTTATTACTTTACAATAACATAACACTACTATACAACAATAAGTAACAATAAACTTATACAACAATATTACGCAAAATAACATTTACAATGTAGTTTGAAATATTAGACATCAAAGGTATCTACAAAACAGTAACTTTAGGAGAAGACAGGTCTTTAATTTTAACACAAGTTATTGAGATTTTTTCCAAACTTTGCTCAAATGATGTAGAAAAGGGTAAAAATGGAGATGTGACAGTGAACCTCAGTGTCAGTAGTGTGTAGTGCTAATGGATTTAGAGCACACCTGCATGTCTCTCTTGGTGATGAAGCCCTTGCCCTCTTTGTCACACAGCTCAAACAGCTCCTTGGCTTTACTCATGCGGTCCTGTTGGACAGGGCCTGGAGCCTGGTCTCTGTTCACTCCACTGCTAGGGGAAGGTCTTCCCCCTCTGCCTGGCATGGGGCTCCTTAGCCTGGGCGTACATGGAGATGTCTGACCACTGCCCTCACCCTCCAGCACCTCTCCATCCTTCAGCCAGCCTGACATTACTAACAGAGAGAGAGAGAGAGAGAGAGAGAGAGAGAGAGGCTGAATAAACTTTCTAGGTACATTTACCTCTATATCTTGTCAATGTAACCCAAACTAAACATTAAGCTCTCACTGTTACTATGTACCTTTTACTCAATATTCTCAGAAGTCTTTTCTAGGAATAAGTGAGTTCTGAGTTAATAAATGATCAAAATTGGCTTTCTCTGGGTAAAAAATGCTGATCCTAGCAGTGCTCAGTGCTGAGTAAGAGAAGCATGCAGGAACAGTTAAAAACACCAACCAGGAACCTGAAAAGCCCACGTCAAGCGACTGTGCTGACCTTATGGAAGCATGTGGCAACTCCGAGAACTACACCACTGCAGACTGCTACAATCTCACCCTGGCCTTAATGCTTTCAGAGTAAGGGACTTCTTGAAAATCCTGTTGCAGTAGGCCAGAAATGCCATTTTAAAATTAAACATATTTGCAAGAGAAATCTTGATGCACAATCATATCAGAATCATATCCGTATCAGCTGATGTTTGCTTTAAAAAACTACTGGCATCAGATAGATGTTTAGATTTGACCAATGATTTAAACCAATATTTGATCATGTATTTCGTGTACTCCAAAAGAGCAGAATATTTAAACGACACCGGGCTCTTATTTTTATATGTTATTACGTGTTTTTTTATTTATTTTACTGCATGTTACCAATGTAGAAAAAAAATGTTTCCCCATAATGCTAATCTAGGCAGATATAGTTTCTATTTCTACATTTTATAAATGGTCATGTATCGCCATCCGCCCACATATTCCATATCTGTGCATCTACATTTATTTGTCTGCCTGATATGCTGTTGGTCCTCCATGTGCTGCCAAAACAGCTCCATCCCACCAAGGCATGGACTCTACAAGACCTGTGAAGGTGCACCAAGACGTTAGCAGTAGATCCCTTAAGATCTATAAGTTGTGAGGTGGAGCCACTGTGAATCAGACTGGTTGTTCCAGCACATCCCACAGATGTTTAAACTCTTTGTCATGTTCCTTAAACAACTCCTGAACAATGTGTGCAGTGTGGTGGACTGCATTATCCTCAAAGACGCGACTGCCATCAGGGAACACCACTGCCATAAAGGGGTGTACCGTTAGGTATGTGTCAAATTGATGTCCACACACATGCCCGCACCCAGCATAACACTGTCCAGCGCATCACTCTCTGTCTACTGGCTTGTCTTCTTCCCACAGTGCAGCCTGGTGCCATCACTTCCCCAACCCTCCAAGGTCCAGTTCTTCTTCCATCCCTCCAAGGTCCAGTACAGATGCTCCCCACAAGCTTCGCCAATACTCTGACCCAGCCGTCCGGCCTAAGGATTTGGCCCTTGACAAAGACACTCCAGTCTTCACGTCTGCTCATTTCTCCCAAATCCAACACGCTGACCAATGAACTGGCTGTTTGCCTGCTGTCTAATATGTCTGAGACTTTTATACGTGCAGTTATTGCAAGATATTCAACATTACTTGCTTCGTCTGTAAGTGGTTATATTGTTGTGGTTTATAAATGTGTATTTTTTACTTTTTTATAAAGAACTTTGTCTACTGAAAATCTTATTCTATTGGCAAAACATTTTACAAAAGATTTTACTCAAGAAATAATAAACCACTTTTTAGTTAAAAAAAACTTAAAACAAGTACGAATGTCTAGATCTTAAGATCCCTTTTTTGCACAGAAGCTGCGTTATTTAAGCTACTGCATGATTGCAAACATACATCAGTGGCAAGACACTCAGTCTACTTTAACCATGCAGAGCCAACAGAAGGATTGTTCATGCTGTTACCTAATAGCTGTAATGGAACGACAAAGTAATTCGGCAAACAACTACAGAACCCTCTAAACAACACTAAAAATGTGTGTGATCTCTTCTACAGAATACCAGCATAATTAAGTGGCAGTGTGCTTCGTTGTTTGAACTGAGGCTTTAGGGAGCTCTGCCCTTAGTAAATATCGATGTGTATGTACAGTAACAGTCACGCGTCCCAGCCAGACCATTTCAGACAGGTTTAGATTTAATTCACAGCTCACATAAAGTTTTGTAAAATCAGTTAACTCAAAAGCACTCGATCGTTATTTGGTTAGAATGGTACTGCAGTGTTGAATGAGCGACGTGTTTGGTGTGTGTTGCAACACTACGCAATTGCAGCAAACACGAGAGGGGAAAAAAAGCCAAAAATAGTATGAAACAGCTGGGAATTTCCCAACACCGAGCACAGATGGGACAGCAGTTACTTCACCAATCAAAGAATCCAATGCATTCCCACCATTCAAACATTTCTCTCTGCTTTTCTCTTTCTCTCTGATTCAACCTCCCTCTCTAAAAAGCTCCATATGGATATGGACAGCAGAACCCTGTGGTCATGTGACAGGACTGTGAGCTGTGTGCTGACAGGGAGTGGGTACAGAAACAAAGGGAGATGCAAATAAAGCCTTAACGTAGGTTTGCAGTCATTACAAACCAAATAAAGTAATGATTTCCCCTCAGCACCCATGTATATATATTCTCTCCTTTCTTTTCTTCCTCCAAAGCTCCACGACATGGACAGTAGAACAGGATGGTCATGTGATGTGTGCTCACAGCCAGTGGGTACAGGAACAAAGTGACATGCAAATAAAGCATTTACACAGGTTTGCATCAGACACTGTCCATTACCATTAGCAGCAATCGTAGGCTGAGACGTGGGCGGCTGACCTGAAGTGAATGGTAAAGAGTTGGAGAACTTCAGCTCAGTGCTGAGCTCGTACCTGGGGACATCTGTATGCCTGTGTGCAACCAGAAGGGAGAGGGCACTGGTGTCCTGGAGGATGGAGTCCAGCACTGTTTGGTGATTTCCATGCTTAAGTCCACCTACTAAACCTAGTAAATAACAGATGGGCTGAATTTGGTGTGTCTGAGCAGGAAAATCATTAAACTGTGCTGGACTCAACAGGGCTGGACTCCTCTGGGAGGTCCACCCCTGAGCTGCTGGTGGAGAGAGAGTTTTGTGGCTAAATCTCAGGGTGGACAGTGCAGATTCTGACCTAAGAGGAAATGTCGTTAGGGCCAAGTGTCCTTGCTCTGACTTTTCTTTAACCAACTGCTGTTGTGGCCTTTCTGTATCCATAACTCCAATATAGCATTGATTGATGAGCGCCTGAATGGCACCGTGGCTTTTCCTGGTTTAATGAAATGATGGTTTAAATAATAGATATTAAATTATTACCTTTTATTTAAATAATATATGTAACATTTAAAAAACGCTTTAATAGTTAGTCCTGCGGTCAGCACAGCCATGTACTGAACATGAGAGCAACTTGTCTGTATTTGAATAATTGAAATCTGGAGGGTTCTCATATTGGCTTTGAATATTCCATGATGCGCAGGTTGTTTTTAGCTTATGTCATGATTTTGGCATCTAGTTTTTAAAAGTACAATTCATTATTTGAGATTTTAAACAAATCACAAGTTTGCTGCTGTGTGAGCTGACTAATCTGCACAGACCCTGATAAATTTGCGAGTCATTGTAAACTTGTGATTAAATGCTTAAACAGCCAAAACTGTGCTAACTAGAGCCAACCAGAGACAGAACGCACCATGTAGACAACGTCCAATGGTCATGCAATGCTCACTAACAGCCTGATGACATCTGACAGTTGGCATGGTGTGTCAGGGCCCTAATACAATCACACCATAAATACATTGTTTTTAGCTACAATCAGACAGAAAATAATTTCTACCTGTTAAACATCAAACTACAATTACATGTATAATAGCATTCGACTCACTTACCATTTTTAATTCTGTTTAATTCAGCATACAGTGTAGACTGAGATGCTGTAAGCTGGACACTAGAATGTATTATAAGACATTTTATTCAAAATTTCAAGCTTTTTGGGATTTTTTTACATGATAAATAATGGACTGAAATTACTATTTACAATAATTCCTGCACACTTAAGACAGTCTTAAAAGACAGTTCTTCAAGGGTTCTTTCGTAAAGAAAATGGCTCTATATAGAACTATACTAAAAAGAGTTCTATATAGCACCAAAAAGGGTTTATCAATTGTTACAAGCTTTACATCATAACAAGCAGGACCCCTTTGGTTCTATATAGAACCATCTACAGCACATTCCCAATCAATCTGAAGAACCCTTCCACAATGCAAAGGATTCTTGGAGTGTTCAAGGTTCTACACAGAACCATTTTCTTTACTAAAGAACCCTCTAAGAACCATCTTTTTTAAGTGTGTAATGAAGCTGTCTGCCTGAGATTCGATAACCACATCTCAAATATGAGGCATTCAGGATGTTGATTTTATTATGAGTTAATTCTTAATGTTTTACAGGTTCCTCAGTTATCATGAATCGTCTACGGCTCTGTTTGTTATTCTGAATACATCTTCACTGTTCATAGCCTACAAACTTGAAATCTGTTTAGTTGTAGAGTAAAAGCCTCATAACATAACTGGTTTGTACACTTATCTGAAATATTTTTTATTGAAAATAATGATGCCAAAGTTTTGAACTGTGATTTAAACCTTTTGTACACTGAAGTATTTTAATAGTAGATTATTCATACATTTCAGTAGTAAATGTCTGATAGTCCCTGCTTTACATTACCAAAGCACACTGAACACTGGATCTTGTGGCAGGCAGTTTTCTGGAGTTTCTGCAGTGCTCAAGGTTAAATACACACTCACACTGCTGAACGACAACAGACAGACAGAGTCAGACATGACCAGCTTAGAGCCTCTGAACCAAACCTAAACTGAGCAGTTCAGAGCAACAGAGCAGTTTGGATCATTTACAGATAACAAAGAAAGTCACATCACTCCAGCTTCCACTGAAAAGATGAGGCACAGAGTGAAAGAGGCCATAAAAGTTGTTTCTCTTCTGTTTGCTGCTGAAAAGTCATGACCAAGAACACAAGACTACAGCAGTAGTGCGAGGTAAACGTGTCCTAAAACAACCCTCAGCCAGTAAACAGAACTGTGTGCATCTGTTTGTGTGCGTTGATGTTTTGTTGAATCTGCAGTTGCAGACAGTTTAACCGGAGATAAACCACTGAAACTCAGGAATCTGTTTCGACTGTGGTTCTGACAGAATTCACTGAACAGATCCTTCATACAGGACTGAGACGGTTAGCGAGTCAGCGAGTGAGTGACAGTGTAGATCCTGGAAAGAGGATCCTGTTCGAGCCATACATAATTCACGAGCAGCTCACAGACTCCTCACACACTTAATCTGCTCCCTGTGAGCTGAAACGCTGAAATTCTGTATTCACTCTTTAAATGATCAAATTTACAGCATTTCCAGTGTAAAACTGGCTCTAAACTCACCTCTGGGGAGTTGGGGGACGCGCCTGCTGCTCAGCACAGCCACCGCAGGTATTCTCAGGTGTTCTGCGGCTCCAGCGTTTCTCTCTCTCACTCTCTCTCTCACTCTCTCTCCCACTCTCTCTCCTCTCTCTCCACACGAGGGCAGAAAGAGACACGCTGCGGGATCTTTTTTTACCGTAATCTTCCTCATAGCGGCCTCACAGCGCATCGTGCTGTCAGGCTCACACCTGGCATTGATTTCACAGCTTAACGCGCGTAGAGATCATATCTTGTTCGCTCCAGATTGAACCGAACTTTTTAAAGGTGCTTTCTGAACAATGAGATTTTAAATGGAAGCCCGTTTCCGCCACTGGAGAAAAATATATAGCCATTTAGAAAGTCATTATGATAAAGTTTTCCATCATTATGACTTTATATTTTATAATAATGACTTATAATGACTATTATTACTTAATATATAATAATAATTAATGACTGTCTCATAGTAATGAGAAGAGTTTCTCATAATTTGGAAAAAGTAAGTCATTATTTTGAGATAAAAAGTCATTATTATGAGATAGTAAGTCATTGTTATGACAATGTTATTATTATGAGATAAAAAGTCATTATTATGACATGAGTAAGTCATTATTATGAGATAGGAAGTCATTATTATGAGATAGTAAGTCATTATTATGACACAGTAAGTCATTATTATGAGATAGAAAGTCATTATTGTGAGATAGAAAGTCATTATGAGATGTTCAGCCATAATTATTGAAAACTGTCTCATAACTATGACTTATTATATGTCAATACATTTCTCTCCAGTGGGGAAACGTCCTTGGAACTCACAGCTCCGCTTTGCGCCCGTCTCTGAGTCTTTACGGTAGGCAGGGTCTTCGGCCGGTTGCTATGGGAGACGTCGTCGTCCTCGTCGCCGGGCTCACCGCCGCGCTTTTGTGCGCTTGTTTATGAGCAGAGTCAGTTCTGTTCACAGCCGATAGCGCTTCTACAGCCTCTGCAGAGCTCCTCACTCGATATGTAAGGTAAGCTGATGGTTTCACTCAGAGGGACTCAGATAAGTTGGCGGGCAGCGAGACAGCCTGTATTAAACATGACGTTAAATCTCCTGTCTAGCCCGCTAGCCTGCTAGCTGTTTGTTTAAAGTTAGCCAAGTTAACGGTGAGGAGGAGAAACTGTGGAGTTCATCTCAGGAAGAGGGCTGTGGGATTTTACTCAGGAAATATACTCATATTTTGTATATTTTACACAAGAAGGTCATGAAAGAGCAAGATAACGTCAGCTCGGTTAGCTAACTTGAATGTGTGCGCGATGCACCGCGTCAACAAAACAACATCTGCTGGGTCTGTTGAGGTTTAGCGGTATCTTAGAGAACGAGAGGTGAAGGCTGCGTCGAGATTTCTAACCACCCACCCAACCTACAGCTGCCGGATAATTACTGTTCGCTGATAAAGTTGATTATGCTAATATTACATTAACTTAAGTGTGTAATGTTACAAAAGTATTCAGAACAAACTGAAATGAGTGAGTTTCACTGCTGTGCTCGATGCTAACTTACTTAGGTTAACACTGTTTATCAGACATAAGCAGGGCTGGGCAATATGACAGTATGACAGATTAGCCCCACAATATGTCTCAATATGCTTTTCTGAGCATATCGTGGAAATTATCAGTACTTAAAAATCACTTACCAGCTACAAAGAGAGCACAGTTCGCCCTGTTTAACTGGATTTAGTGCAGATTTAGCACAGTGTGTAAAATGTTGTATACAAATAATTCAGTTCATAGTTTATGGCATTTTATCATAAAAAATAAATATCGTGGCATGTCATGTATCATAAAAACCTTCTTGTATTGTGATATAACATTTTGCCATATCGCCCACCTCTAGACATAAGTCAGTTAATGCAAGGCCAGCTTTGACTCATCCAGAGTTTAATCCGTTTCACTCTGTCATCGACTGGCACACTGCGCCTCTGTCACCTCCTGACTAACTCAGATCTAGTGGCGCTCAGAGATGTGTAGATGGTTAGGAAAAAGTCAGAAAGAATCTGTTGTCCGATACAACTATGTATTTCTCATAGGCTTTGTGTAGTGTGCGTGAAAGTAAGAGTCAGAAAGAGATTAGAGGGAACACAGAAGATGTCTCTCTCTCCGCTCAGTGAAATTAAACCTTAATCCCCAGTGTGACCTCTGCTTGCCTGTGTAACCACCTACATGTGTAGCACCTTGAATAACAGAGGCTGGCTGTGACTCAGTTATAGCACTCAGAACGGTGTGTGCCGATGACCGAGGGAGATGAGGCCAGTGTGACAGTGATGTGTACAAGTGGTTATCTGCAGGTAGGGAATAAGTGACGACTTGTGCATCACTTCAGCGATGGTTTGAGAGATCAGCAATGAGCTTTTTGAAACATTGAAAATGTTGAAAACGTTGAAGCCTTTATTTTTATTTTTGACCCTGTTGTGTGTCTCATTTCAGCTCAGTGGGACAATACGAGATGACCTTATCTGTTAAACTTGACATCACCAATCGTAGTCTGATGGGGAGATCTACAGTCTACAAAGACTCTTGAATAAACCTGATTATTACGCAAAAAACACAGTAATTGGGATAGAGTTTCACTAAGTAACCAGTGCTTTTTCAAATATGGCTGAGGCTGGAGCCATATAGACGACTGTAATGTGTGCAGCATTTAAACAAAAGACAACAACATTTTTCTTTTTCTTCAGTTCTTCAATTTCACCCCAGTGGAAAAATTCAACAGGACAAGAAAAAAACTTACCATAGGAAAGAAACACTATATCATCAGTTGACATGCTGTCCTGCTCTGACGAGAAAAAATATTTGACCATATTGATTTGAATTCTAAAGCTTAAATGGAGAAGTGCTGAGACAGTTTTCCTCATCTTCCATCACTGTCAAGAGGAGTATCTGGGAAACCAGAGCCACAGTGGCCAAAGGACTTACTAAAGCCCCCAACGTGAGCTCCTGGCTGGAGCTGTGGGGCAACACTGAACCTTGAGATGCTCCAGACCAACAATTACTCGCTGGTCCTGCTGATCCAACTGGCCCTTCTGGCATTTGACCTATTTGTTAATTCCTTCAGCGAACTTCTGAGGGCAGCCCCGGTCATACAGCTTGTGCTGTTCATGTAAGTAGAAGAGGGTAATTTGAAGGAGTGATAGTTGGGGTAAAATTGTACATAGGAGTAAAAAAAATAAATTGTATAAACTGTGGATCTGTGCAGCCAAACATTTATTCACTTCAACAGTTATATTTTTTACTTAAAATATTTTTTAACTGTACATTTTAGATATATGTTTTAGATACATACATTTTATTTGTTATACGATGTTTAATTTTCTCCTCTCTTCTTTCTCATTCATACTGCAGAATCCAGGATATTGCCATCCTGTTTAATGTGATCATCATCCTGCTGATGATGTTCAACACGTACGTGTTCCAGGTCGGGCTGGTGTCTCTGCTCTTGGAGAGGTTCCGAGCATTGCTCATGCTGTCTGCTCTCTACCTCACCCTCAGCATCTGCCTTCACTGCTGGGTCATGGTAGGTCCCCTCTGAGAATTAAATTAAATTGTAAACAGTAATAATTATCTTAAATTGAAACATTTAACCTCAATCAGTGTGAAAGGTTTTACCAGTATGTTCCAGCACAATAATCACAAGTTTCCTGACACTGTACCACATTTCAGACACGCTCCACTTCACCTGTTTCCAGATTTTCAGATTAATTACACTGGGGAAATCCTCATGGTCGCCTAAGCCAACAGCTGTTTAATTTCACAGTGCAGTTAGTAAGTAATTGGACGCTGACATAGTTTTTGTTGTTTTGCCTCTTTACTCCAGCATATTGGACAGCAGTGACTATGAGGTTAAAAGTGCAGAACGTCCGTTCTAATTTGAAGGTGTTTACATTCATATTGGGTGAACCGTATTGCCCTTTTATGCGTAATCACCTTATTTGTGGGTACCATATGTAATGTGATAAATTAAGTTAAGCTGTTCATTATGTTGAGTTGTTTCAAAATGTATGTAATTTGTTGCAGATCATTTGAATTCTGTGACCAATAAACATCTGTAATGTAGGTCTATAATGCAGATGTTCTAGTTCCTGTTTGTTTCTATGGCTTTTTGCTTCCAGCCGTGTCTTAATGCTTAGTGAGTGATTCATTTGACTGGTTAAAACATTGCATTTTTGTCCTTTTGTCCTTGACCATTGTTACTTAGTATGATTTGATTGATGTCCCACTGCAGGGACAAGTGCCAGTGACTGGGTTTTGAGGCATTTGGTTGTATCTGAGCAGTTAAAATGGTTACTTTTGCATTTGCATCCTGTGGAATCATAAGGTCATAGAACTGTATTGTTCTCTTTATGGTAATTTTACATACATAATTTTGACACATATTCGATAAATCTCTTTGTCCTCAGTAGTGCTCATAGTTTGTTCTGCAGCTTTTCTTCATAATTTAAAGTACTACTGATCTTCTGTACAGGGTTTATTGTTTCTAAGATCATTGGTGTATTCTTGCTTCTTACTAAACATGATGCAATGATTTGGTAATGTTTCGATTTCATTTATTCTGGTTTTTAAGCTAAGCTTCATGATAGCTTTCTTTACTGGCATTGTTGTTCCTTTGGCTTTCATGTTTAGAGACAAAAGCAGAACTCCAAATGTAAATGCCACATCTAGAATCAACTCTAGACTTGCTGTTAGCTCTTAGCTCTGAGTTCTCTAATAATATTAGTTCTCTTGCATGAACTAATATTCATTGTTTCAACTCAGTGTGTTAAGAGCCAAGACAGAAAAACTTTGTACAATTATTTACAGACCACACAATATAATTAAACAGCCTTTGGTTTTAGCAGTAAGTGAGGAATTCCCTTAACATGATACATTTCCTCCACTATTTAAAAATCTAGATGTGAGTGAAGCATAACAGTATAACCAGAAACCACATTATCATTGTGGCTTTGGCTTTACAGAATCTGAGGTGGATGGATTCAAATCGTTTTGTGTGGACAAACGGCTTACAGGTCCTCTTTGTGTTCCAGAGACTAGGTAAGGAAGACATGACTAAATGTGCTTTTTGAGTTCTCGGCCAAAGTTAGCGTTGGATTGTCTGCAGTCACAAAAAATAATGTCAAGGCTTCCTTAGTTCTCTTTCTCTGTTTGTTTCTTACATTCTGACTGTGCAGCTTTCAGATATTCTTCTCAAAAGCAGACATAATTGATTAATAAATAAAAAATAAATAGAAAATGTTATCATTTAGGAGATGTTGAGACTTAAGTAACAGATTTTTTTGTTATGTTTTATGCAGCTGCTGTGTTGTATTATTACTTCTATAAGCGCACAACAGAGTACCTTGGAGATCCACGATTATATGAGGATTGTCCATGGCTTCGTGATGCTTTTGCCCGAGCTCGACAGTGACTCAGGCCTGAGGACCATCATGAAAGAGAAACTACAATCTTATGAGTCTAGATGGAGGCAATTGTGAGATTTATGAAGACATTATACTGGACTGATACAAAACAAGGATCGACATCAGTGGCAAGAAACAAAACTTGAACTTGAGCAGTAAAATAATTAAGGGACTCTTATGTGGAGCCTGAATGCACACAAGTATGGAGCACCTTACTGCACCAGCAGCTTTTGCATAATCCTAAAGAGCCAGTGAGACAGTGGAACCAGAAGGTAAATGTAAGCATTTAAAAACAATTCATTTAATAGTAATATTAAACATAATTCATGGAGTAGATCCAAGTAAATCTATCCAGTTTCCAATGTTTGTGTTTTGTCACTTACCAATTAGGCTACTTAGGCCTGAAACTGTAGTTTTTTTCCACTTAATTTGGCATCAAGAATATTCAGGTCATCAAGTTTTACCAAATGAAGGTGCCATTTAAACTGCTGATATTTATAGATCTGTCTCACAGCGTGTGAATATTTTATCAATGTCTTCATTCTCTAGTTAGTATTTTTATAAGATTTTTATTGATGAAAATGACTGTCGGTGGGTCTTAGACTGAAATAGTGGTCTTCAGTCTGCCTTTTCACAAACTAGAGTGAGATTTTGGTCAATGGAATTTATTTTACTGTCATTTTTGTTACTTTTTTATGTTTGATGATCAGAGTAATTCTTCCTTTTTTACACAATGATTTGATTATGACCATCCAACTACATTTGAGATTTTTAAATTAAAGAACATTCCTCAAACTTTCTGGTTGTCACCAAAACATGACCAATGTGCCTCACTCCTGATCGTTCTGTATGTTTGCAGTCGGTACATATTGTAATACACAGTAGTAATATTACAGGATTGTCAGTGGGACTGTCTTCCTCTTATAATAGTTAACATAAATGTTCAGCGTAGCCATTACATGGTCTCTGTGATTAGGTCATCAGTTTTCACTCAGCTGTGACACTGTTTCGTGAATGTCATTTCAGCATCTTTACATGTTCAAGTTGTATCAAATAAATGTTTTTAAATTTCGGTATCTTGACTGTTTATGCAAGTGTTCTTCACTAATGTAGGAGCTATTACGCTATTACGATTAAGCCATATATATATATATATATATATATATATATATATATATATATAAAAACATAAAAGGTCATGGACCATTGCTCACTTGGCCAGGGACAGGTATGTACACTTCTTGAGACACTGGATAAAAGTATATGCTAGATGTTGTAATGTACACACAATTATTGTGAAGGGTTACAGGCCATGGCCTTCGGAGGCTGGCCAAGAGTGTGGCACTGACAGACTGCTCTATTCTTATCCGTGAGATTAAGATGGGATTGGGGGTTTAGGCGCTACGAAAGGCCTTCCAGACGCTTATAGCCCAGTGTTTTCAAATACCCAGCCAACACGTCCCACTGACTCAGAGCCGGAGAGGTAGGGTGTTCTGGAACTGCATTTCTGGGAAAATGGACAATGGCTTAGACTCAATTACGAGTGAGACAGGACAAGGTTTTCCTACCTTGATAAGATGCCTCTAGATATAGCCTATAGGTGACCTGCCCCCAAACATGTTTCTTGACTAAATATGTGAACTAAACGTTGCCCTCAGTATTTGATTCACAAAAATATTTTCCCACCATCATTTAAGATCATTCAATGACTGTAGCTGGCTGGGAGCTGAATTTAGACATATAGATACAGAAAATAGACCCAAACCTAGCCCTAGACTACAAGGAGTCTTTTTTTCTGGAGAACATCCAATGTTTAGCTAAACTGAGCCAAGCTATTTGTTCCATAAAGACTAAACATGGTCTGCAAGGGTAGAGTACATTAAAAACTACGCATGCAAAATTCATACAAAATCTTTTTTATTTGTGAAATCAATCCCAGTTCCCGATATCCTGCCAGTGCAAAGTCCATTCCCGTTCCCAGTGCGTGTGGTAGAGTTTGAAGCCCGGAGAGAATGCCGAGCCACCGGAATGTTCTTCTCGACCCGTCCCCCTGTGTATGTGTAACCTCTGGCACAGAAACACATGGGCCAGTGAGACTTACAGCGAAGAATATTCTGAGCTTTGTTTCACATACACAAGAATATGTGGCAGATCAGTGCTAATGTGAGTCTGTGCCTGTAAAATACAACCTCTTTAACAGCAGCAGTATTCTCACATTTCCCTAGCTGACATTGCATTGACTATAAAAGAAGCTCTTGAATGAATGGGGGTTTCATGCCATTATAGCATGGCTTTGATATATATATATATATATATATATATATATATATATATATATATATATATATATATATATATAAATGCAATAAAGTACATAGCATGAAACACAAAAATACACTGTGAAGTAACAAAAGCTACCAGTGTGCCAAACCCAATTATTTTATCTGAAGGTAAGTCCAGTAGTGTTACAGATGACATCAGATGGAGTTATTAGCAATCTGTCTAAGCATTCAAAAAACATTATCGTTATTCCAGTGTCCAGAGATGCTGAATGCATTTGACAACTTGCAACTCTGTCTGTGAAATCTGGGTTAGTCAACCAAACTACTTGTGCTATTATGGTTGAAATAAATTATAAACTTTTGAGAATAACACTGTAAAACGCTGTGATCCAACTAATTAACATACAGCTTCATCAGCTAAGATTCACAAACTGTGACATGTTTAAATTCTCACCTTCAGACATAAATTCCAACCCAAAGTAGCAGGAAGAGAACCCCAAAGCCCATGAAGAGTGATGCCACCAGTGAGATGAGCAGCTCTTTGTATACATCTCGTGTGTATTTTGTGGATGTTACCTCATACCTGGAGCAGAATAGGTTAAGGAGGAAACCTGCAAACCAACCAACGACTGATCTTACTCAGTGTTATTACAGGTCATTAGGAGCGAACCTCTACCTTTTCTCTATTTACCTTCTTTCATTTATCTCAATTACTACTTATGCACTACCTGTTCATTTTTTTGGAAGCTAAGCATCATTTCAGCACTTCAGATGAGTCCTTCTTATTAAGTACTTATAAAGTTTGTGCATCATGCCACTCTGAACTGTACTGTAAAGGATACACAAAGAACCATGCTGTGAAGAACATGCCAATGGCGAGCAGCACCACTGTGAGGTGGGGGAACACAGCCGGGTTCACCGGGCTGGTGTATCTGGTCATGGCTTCCAGTTCCTGTACAGACAAAAGAGGAGACAAAATCATAGAAAGCATTAAAAAAAAGAAATCATGCTCCAACTGATGTACATACACTCTGTGCAGTTATATTAGGCTGCGTCCAGAACTGCACATTACAATACTAAACAGTACATCAAAAATATTACACCACCAATAGAAGCCCATTCATTACTGTATTATGTGTAGTACAGCAGTATGTGGTTTTGAACGCAGCTTTCTGCTCTCTAACACTCAACTTAATTAAACTCTACCTGACACTCAAGACTGGAAAACATATGCTGCGTCCAAAACCGAACACTACCAAAATATGCATACTGTACTATTGTATGCACTTCTAATGGTGGTGTACTCTTCTTGGCATACTCTTTAGTACGGCAGTATGCGGTTTTGGGCGCAGCTACACTCCAGACGCTTCACTAGTAACGTTACCAGAAGATGCACAAATTAATCTCAATAAAAATCATAAATGTGTCTTACAATTAAATTCACTCTAGCCTAATAACACTTTCCTGTCGACTTGCCAGCAGCAACTCTGGCTCTGAAATCCCATTATGATTGTCATTTCTGGTTTCTGGTTCTTTCATGAGGCTCTTTCCTGCATATTATAATCTACATGTGTTGGACTTGCATAAAAACTGGACATATAACAGTTAATTCCCATATAGCTGCTGTTTTCATCACCCACCTTTACTTTTGTACACGTATGCATACGATTAAGGTTCTTATATTACGCCTTTTAAAGGTGGAACATATATGCATGAATAAAAATTGTGATGAATGTAGCGTTAGTGTATTTTGACTGAGCACCAAAACAGATTCCTAATGCTTTCTAATGCAGCTACATGGTGAATAAACGTGATTCTGGCTCGGTCAGTAAAGACCAGCGCAGGTGAGAGAGCACTGTGTTACTCATCGCCTGTCAAGGCAGTGAGCAGTAACGTTAACTGTGAGTCAGTTTCTCACAGTAAATGGATAAACAGTGTAGTGTACTCGTCCCTGCGGTGAGAACCGAGCGGTTTTAAGTTTTAGGAGCACAGCTACGTTACTGAATCTCGCTCCAGCGAACACAGCCCAAGACGATGGCGTTACTGTGGTGGCTAGCAGGCTAGCCTGAGTACAATGACCAACTTTACAACCCTAATACAAAATGAGACAGGCAGGATGAGGTGGACACACTCCTCGGCCATTCAACAAACGACCTGCACTGACAAATAAATATTTAAAATTGTATTTACACCACAAAGTACATCAAAACCTACCATGACGGCTAGATCGGCTATCCTCGCCAACAGCTCCAGGAAAAGCCACGTATGTGAAGACACCAATTCTCGCGAGATCCTGAGAACGACTGATGGGAGTAAAGCATTTCATATTAAAAGCATTTTACTACGGAAATCACCCCGGTGTGTGCTGAACAGTAATAACGTTAGAGCTAGACGTGGGAATCCTGCTGAAAAAAATCTGAAATTATATATATATATATATATATACATGGACAGAAAAATTGACATCCCATTGTAAATCCACTGTGGTGGGAAGCTTTCTACAAGATTTTGGAGTGTCTGTTGGAATTTTTGTCCATTCATCCAGAAGAGCATTTGTGAGGTCAGACTCTGATGTTGGACGAGGGTCTGGCACGGAATCTCTGTTCTAGTTCATCCCAAAGGTGTTTGATGGGGTTGAGGTCAGGACTCTGTGCGGGCCAGTCAAGTTCTTCTACACCAAACTCACCCCATCATGCCTTTATGGATCTTGCTTTGTGCACTGGGGCTCAGTCATGCTGGAATGCCCAAACTGTTCCCACAAAGTTAAAAGTGTACAATTGTCCAAAACGTCTTGGTTTGATGAAGCGTTAAGATTTCCTTTCACTGGAACTAAGGGGTGTAGACCAGCCGCTGCCCCTTGATAGCATTTGCCCAGCAGACGAAAAAGAATTGTAAAAAGTTTCATTTCAAAATGCTCTGCATCTATTAGTAACACTTGTGGATGTATCAAGTTTTATTCATTACTAAATATGGTATTGATAATATAACATTGTTATGTCTTTTATGTAAAGCCCACTCCTAATAACGTAAATCATGAAAAAAAAATTCTTGTACGTGGTCTATGATGCGCTCTGGAACATAACCCTTAATATCTGTCACACCTACATCAGCCCCAGGGATGGCACTTCGACCAGGAAAATGGGCTCTCAACGTACTTACTAACTAGCAGGTTAGGAGAGTAAAGTGGTGAAGCAGAATCACACATGGATGGCAGATAGTTTGCAACCTTAAACACAGTCTGAACATGGTAATTTGACTGTTATGGTTTTGAAATGTAAAACATTTTACAGTAGTTTCCTGTAACGGCTTATAAACAGCTAGTCCACCATTTCTTTTGAATTTTAAAAGGGAATTATGTCAAGTCGCCATGATTTCTGGCTAAGTTCTGATTGCGTCCACTTGGTCCCTCGCATCGAAATGACGAGGACAAGTGGACGAGGGCCTCCTAAAACAGTTAAAACCGGCTCTGAAACGTGCGGTGAGGGTCATTCAGCATTAACTATCACAGACAGATCGAATATTAAATTCGCCAAGCCAGCCCAAACCTCTGAGTGCAGAGTTTCATTTTATTGACATTTGAAAACTTCATGAATAAAGTAACAATGTTTCACAATCACACAGCAAGGAAATGGTAGACTGAGTATTACATACTGTCTAGCTGACACAACCACAAAGGACAGAAAACACACCCCCTCCCCCAAACCTCTATCTTAACCACACTGAACACATCTACCCCTGCTAACCATCCTCTGACTGAGACATCACCCACCACAGTGTGCGCCATCCAGACTGTCCTTTGCAGCTGTAGCAGCTAGACTTGACCCTGAATAATGCAGCATGATGATTGTTGTACCTTCAACCAAAGCACATAAAAAGCACAGGCCTGTGAGAACAGTAGCACATGAATGTCAGCCGTTTTGTTTTAGCAGAGTTTCTTTAACAAGAAAAAAAATCTCTGAAGAAATAAATATTACATTAGAAGGAACAATCAAATATAATTTATGATGATAAAAACTAATGCTACCTCCACCATGAAATGGCCCAGAATGCTTCCTCCTCAATGCTGAAACTGCTGAAATACAGGATGGGGGTAACACTAACTACATAATTATGCAACACCAATAAATAATTCTGCATTAAGATTCCTATAGTATGTTCAAGCATCACCTGCAATGTTTTTTTTTGGGGAAAACATAACAAGGATGCAACCTGTGATTTGCTATTTACTCTTTGAACAACTGCTACTCAAACAGATTAGTTTGCATCGCACAACCCACCATAAATTTTACAGACTATTTGTCATTTTCTGTTGTAAACTCAAAATAGATGAAAATAAATAATACAATAACATCCAAACTAAGCACAAAGTAAAGTCTACATTTTGTCTGTCATTACAACATGGGAGGACACGTAGAGAACATGTGCAGTTACAGTGTGTAATTACAAACTCAAAAGAAGCAAAAACAAGAGTAAGTATGGCAACACAGTCTAAGCAGCACGGTTCTTTGAAAGGATAACTGTGATGGGATTCTCATGTAGCCATACTTGTCACACATTAAAATTTACAGATTGTTACCCTACTGTTTACCTGTGATGTAAAGGCAGGCAGAAACGAGTACTACATTGTACAGTTCATGTGTCTTTGCAGTTTGCTGTTACTGTGAACAAGTTTTTTTTTCTTTTTTAGCAAATGTACTGATACCTTTCCTAACATTTAGCAGATTGGTGTGCTTAACAAGTGGACGGGATGCTTTGATTATTACCACAACAGTGGAAATTTCACTTGGGTGAATGGAATACCCTGTTTTGTTTAATAATGTCAGAACAGTCTGGTTTTGATTAGATACTGATGTAAATGTATCATATTACACTGTGTTTAAAATTTCTACATTCAACCAAAACTTGGAGATCTGGAGGAAACAAACTGATGTTTCTACATGCCTAAATTTATGGCAGCATATTCCAGACTTTTTTTTTTCAAATTATTTAAGACACAACACAAATTCAAATGCAAAATGTGTAGTTGCATTTGCATTTCTGTGTGTAATTGGTCGAAATATATGGAAAAGCAAGAGCTTGTTAACAATCCCTGACCATTTGTAACAGGTGTGATAAAACAGGGAAAGCACTAAAACATGCAGGGCAGTTTTCGTCTAGGTCTAGTGTTTCTCCAACAGCCCTGTGAGCCTCTGCCCTGAAGCCAGTCACTGTGTCACTAACAATGGTGCTTGTGCAGCCACAAGGTCTCCTAGTTGGTCGTAAGTCACTTTCACGCAAACAACATCGAATGACGCAGCACAGAATTATCCACGGCCTGGTTGGCAAGTGTTAAAACGTCACTAGCAGTGGTTGCCATTGTTGCCTCAATACTGTAAACAAGTGTGCCATTACCACAAAAGTTTAAGCTGCTTCCAAAAACACATTATTTTGCTATTTAGTATGGTAGTATGAGGTTCTGGATGCAGCCTTAGACTTTCTCTGAAAACACTCCCCACACTTACAAGTCCCTTCCAAGGTCCCACCCACCTCACTGACAATGAAAACGCAAATGCAAACAGGGTTGCAAATGCATTATTTTGTCAGAGCTAAAGTGCGACAATGAGGGAATAAAATTGCAATTGCAAGTGCAACTGTCTTACTAATAATACAATAAAAATGAAATCTCAAAAGCACTTTGCATTTGCATTTTTCCAGCCATTATACAAAAAAATGCAAACGCAAATACACTTTGCATTTGAATTACATTGTAAACAATGCACACTCACATGGGAAATTAATGTAAATACACATTTGAATTAGCATTTTCAAATCTGCATTTGAATTTGAGTCCAGAATACGCTGCCATACATATATTAGGTTTTGCTGAAATATGAAAGTCTGATTGTCATGATTCACTGAATCTGTTGCACAACAACAGAAAATGTCCTGGGGACGGCCTGTCCTGCACAGTGACAGACAATCCGCACCTCAAGACACTTGATCCAGCTAATGAGGTAATGAACAAGCACTTCATGAGCAGAATCAGATACATTAAGGCAGAAAACAGTTGAAACTATGCAGGACATAGGATCCCAAAGACCAGAGTTCAGAACCATTGAAATAATTCCTTAAATGGGCTTCAGAACTACAACGTGTATACGACTTTGTGTATAATTAAACCCATGTACTTCTGTTAGTAGGATATCTTGTTCACAGAGTTCAAACTGTACATGCAGTATGTGCTGTAAGATTTTCTGTGCTGTTAAAAAATAAATAAATAAATAACATTAAACTGAATTACACACTTTAAACAGACATGTCCTGTTTGGATATTTGGCAAGCATAGACTTTCTTGTCTAAAATTCTTTTAACCCCTTAATATCCCAGGCATACTACACAGGCATTATTATTATTAAGTAGCTACAGAGCCTTCAATGCAAACTGGCTGAGCTTGCCTTAGGTTACAGAGGTGTGTAACAAACCTTCGGGCCTGCTGGTGTGCCCTGGCCATTTACGGGGTTAAAACGTTAAAAGTGGGTCATGCAACATTCTGGTAACTTAACAGAAATAACTGGATATTATTACGGACGGGCGCTTGTGTGTATTGTATTTAGCTATATTCTGATCTTTGGGGACAAAAAAATAAATATTGGAAGTGTATACAGTATGTGCAACATGGTTAAACGTTACCAAGTGATTACTGATCTGAGATTTTATATTTATATTCCCTCTCATAACCGTTAACTGTATTTAAATAAGCATTGAGTAATGGAAGCTGGTCCAACATCAGCACACAGCATCAAGGCAACGTCTACACATTGCTACAGATATATGCAGAGAGGGTGGGGGCAGGGAGGAGAGCCGAAGAGGCAGCCATCACTGCGTCAGAGCTTGGAGGATGTCCTTCACGAGCATTGTACCAATCACCATCTTTTCACAGTTCACCGTAAGCAGGGCCCCTGCTCCCTCCTTCCTCGTTACAGTCACCAGCACAAGGCTTCCGCTGCTGACGGTTTTCCCAGCAAACCTGGAAACAGGTGAGGAAGGAGGAGGAGGAACAGGAGGACTGAAGTAAAGAAAGTTCAACAGTGCAACAGGCCAGAGATATAGAAAAGAAAAGAAACAGGCAGACATATGAAGAGCAAATTTATGCACTAAACCATAACTTTACATACAGTATTACCCCTTAAACTGCCCATATACGAGGTAGAGGACTGCTACCCGACCCAGCCTAAGAAAATATCGGGTTTTGAGCTGACTGCACGCATACAACATTGCGTTCTGTTTAAACTTGTTTTATTTTTTTTTAATTTTTACCCAATTTTCTTCCCAATTTAGTCATTACCAATTCCACCCACTAGTTAGGACTCCCCCAATCACACGATACTATCAACGCTAGGAGGGTGAAGGCTAACACAGACTTCCTCGAGACCTGTGAAACCACCGCTTCATTTCGAACTGCCGCTCACGCAACATCACTGGATAGCCGAACGCGCTCGGAGGAAAGCGCCAACCCCCAGATCTGTTACGTCAGCTAATCGAACTCGCTATCTCTTGATGATAGGGCCAACGCTTAGACGGTTGCGCCACTCGGGAGCTGGACTTGTTCTCTAATGAGCGATTTTTTATTTTTATGTTTTTATGTAGGATTACATAATTTCATAGACCTACACACATTCTCTTTCCCTCTCTCTCTCTCTCTCTTTCTCTCTCTCGCTCTTATTCTCTCTCTCACCTATAGCTGCATTCGAAATAGCTTTATAGTTTGAGGGGTGAAGATGGCCTTTGAATGAAACCAGGTACTCCAACCAGGTAAACCAGATGTAGCCTAAGTTCAGCAGTACATCAGTCTCAGTGAAAGCAACGATAATAAGAGGGATGTGTTGGGTTGGTGAAAGGTCACACTGGATCTTTCGTCTTGCTTGATCATCTTACCCAAAGTGTTATAGGGAAATTCCACTGAATTTTCAAAATTTCTTCATAATTAATCTCACAGGAAGTTAATACATGATTATGAATATGCTGTCTGAAGTCTGAGACATTGTTTTACGATAGTTCTGACATTTCTTTAAAAAATACATCCATGGCTGAGGTACACGTATGGTGTTATAAAGAAAATGGTCCCCAAAGAAATTTTTTCTTTAGATTTACCACTACTTTACCATAATCAACATTATATATAAAAAACATATGTAGGTTCACTTGTGGTTATAGATAGTAAATAAAATGGCTATATTTGTGTTGTAGACATTGTGACCCCTGGTTCCTATCACCACCACTGTAAAGAAATCCGAGTCAGTCAAGTTTCTCTACAATCAATCGTTCTGAGTACAATCAGCAATTCTGCAAAAATATACTAATAATAAATGCTGTTTATAGTGTATTGCAGACATGAAATACGTTCAAGTGCTTAGTAACAAAGCAAAGCACTTAAACCATGTCTGTGCTAATCTATCCACTAGCGTGTGTGAGTGGGTTTGGTTTGGGTACAGATTTCCTATTAAGCAATAGCAGTCGGGCCTAGTTAGGTCTCAAAGTCATGGGCATGGGTTGGGTTTGGCTGTCAGTTTCATGACTGTGCAGACCTCTAATATGAGCTAACACTTTAATTCCTCATAACTACGTAACTACATAACTACAATTACAGAAGTCTTAAAATATAACTCTTATGATTATTAACTGAATGTTACCCCCAAGTGTCTACATACACTAATACAATACACAAATTCATTATACAGCCATTATATCGCCATTTCACCAAATTAGTACTAAAAGGCCTTGAAGATAGATGAATAGTGCTGAATGAATCTCCTGAGAGCAACCATGTGTATATTTGTGTACACATAAATTTCAGTGAAAGTTATGGTACTCACAGTATTTTGAAATGTGTAGGTTTTTAATGTGATCTACCTGCTCTCTTTATCTGAACCACAGGGTACTCTGCTGAGGTTAGCCGTGGAGGTGACTCTCTCTACGATGGCGTGTTCGCTTTGACACTTCTCCCCCAGGGTTAGCTTCTCTGAGATCTCATTCATTCCCATCAGCTGACCTGCAAGTAAGTGAACAAAACATCACATGATCCACTATACAAAATCAGCACTCATGATTGGTACATCCAATAGTGCAGCAGAGCCAGTGCACCTTAAACAGAAAGGAGGACCACTGGTCATCATTAAGCACATTCTGTTGAGTCTACAATATAAAAGAATATAAAAAGGTACTAAAGTTAGTGTCACAGACTGACTGGGATGCATAAACTCTAGAAATATGTTCTAGAGTGACTACATGTCCTAAAGATAAGCACTATAAAGGAATTTCCAGACTTTGGTGATTATTGTGCTTCTTTACAGTGTCCGTTCAGCAAATCCCCAATGTTGTATTCACTCTTAAAGTGTTTACTTGTGTCCAGCTTAAATAAACACTGTAGGTGTTATTTCAACTCAGAGGATCTTGCTGTGCAGTCATAACAAAACAGCTGTTTGTTTTGCGTTGCTATTTCTGATTCTGGGTCTGTCGCTTATATGACACACACTGTACGTACAGGTGGTGTAAAAGTCAAAGACCATCCTTCACTTTTTTAATTTCCAGTCAAAACATCCATTACGAACAATTAATTCATTTTCCAGGATACTTCCTAAGAGAATAGATACAAGATACTCCACTTGACTAGACTCAGAAAATCATGAAAATATATAGAAAATTGTAACTCCAGGCAACCGTGCAAGACCTGGTAGACCACCAAAACTGTGACTATTAAACAAACAGAACTTAAAGCTTTCATCTTTGAAAGAGAGGAGAAAATCAAGCTCCACTTTTGCTTCAGAGCTGCAAAAATCCACAGGTGTTTCTGTTCATCCTTCCACTGTGAGAAGACAATCAACACTATGAGTCTGAAAGGATGTGTGTGTCAAGAAGCTGTTACTGAGAAAACGAAATAGACAAAAAAGAACATTAAATTTGCATTACATGGATTTCTTTGAAAAACTGAAAGCAAGTCTCCTGAAAAATGAAAGCTGTAATAAATGCCAAAGGGTAGACATACTAAATAAAGAAAATGTTAATATTATATTTAGTTATTGAGGCTTCTGGGTAATTTTCTGTTATGTTCTGTTTCTTCTGACACTACAAAATAAATAACTTATACGCAGCAGCCATTTTGACTGGAAATAAATAAATAAAGGCCTCTGGTTTTGCATCGTACTGTACACTTTTGGGAAATTGGGCCAATTTCCCAAAAGCATCTTAGTGTTAAGATCATCTTAACTGGTAGAGAGAGTGTTCAGTGTGATGCTCACTCTGCTACCTAAGAATCACCTTTGTGCATGTTTTTGGGAATCCCAGCCATAGTATTTCTTTTTACATACTGACCTATATTATTATAAGGTGACTGGTAAGGTACTATATTAGAAATTGAAACAGAGCATCTAAGTATTCTTAAACACTGCTGCAGAGGTTTAAAAGTACTTAGACGCTTCATTTCCTGTGTGGGCATTCCCGGAGTGCTTCCTGCTGGACTGTGTGTGGGACATTTCGGGGCGTTAGTGGCTTCACAAGGCTCATTCCTGGTGGGATGCAGTGGACTGTTCACCCAACGTTCCGTGAAACAGCAAATGCACAGTTATGGTCACTGTCACCATGGCAATAGCTAGGTCTGACAATGAGGGGAGCGGCTAGAAGCAGAGGGAGCAAGATAAGAGGGGCTGATGATGTGTGTAGTGGGGCGGGTGGGGGTGGGGTTGAGGCAAGTGGCAGACTACCAGCATAAAGGAACCAGGTCCGTAGGAGGAACTTACCATGTAATAGTGTCTCTATTGGACAGCAATAGAATAAACCCACACAGAGGGAAAAATGAAGAATATGACAGAGGTTTAAATATATACAGTCATTACTTTCAGCTGGTGTTGACAGCCACACTGACGCAGGCCAAGTGTTGCTTAGCAGTTAGAGTTTAAACAGTGAGACAGAATGAATGATCTGATGGATGGTAAAACTTTGCTCTATGTAGCATGTAAATGGCACAGCAATTATAAGACACTTCTCTACATGCTAGCATAGAAGATGCAGCATGTGAAGCAGTGCTACATGCTAACATAAGAGCAACTGCTTGTGACCAGCTTGCCTGAGACTAGACTGAGTAAGGTGCAAGGAAAGTGAATAAGCATTATGTATTTAACTACATCCTGATCGCTGAAAAACAGTTAATAAACCAGAGCTAGAAATAATCCAGCAGCATTTGATGGATGTAAAACGAGATTTACTTCAGCACAGAAGAACTGCCAGGAAGATCTGTGATCTCACCTTGCTCCTTCTTAAACTCGTTCTCTGTCAGAAAGGTAGGCATCATCAGCTCTCCCACTGGTGGTTGGATCGACACAAAGAACTTCCGGGTATGAGTGCTGATAAAAACAAGATCAAACTCATCTCAGCAACAATAATCCCTGGTGTTCCTTAAGTGCAAAATCAAAAATACTTGAAATAATAAAAAAATAATAACAAAATAAAAATACTAATCAATTTTATAATTTAATTCACTCAGTGATATTTAAGGGTAAAATGTTCATGGAACAAAATGTTTGGAACTTTAACCACAGAATATTGTGGTTACAAACTGGCATTTATTTTTTTCCACACAGAAAAAAATGATTTAGGCCCAGGGCTCCTCTGGATGCTTATTGTGACGTACAAGAAGATGACACAACATCAGAGGTCTATTAATAGAGTTATAATAAAAATGAAAGTTAGTTGCCCACCAAAGCTGGAAGTTGGCTGCTTGTGTGGAGTCGCAGAAATCAATGCCCATTACTACATTAAGTGACTCGCCTGCAGGTAACATCTCTGTGAAAAAAAAGCAGATCACATGAGACAGACAAGAAATACTCATCACGTTTCACAAGGTGGGTTGTTAAAAAGGAAATTCCACCAATTTAAAAAAATTTAGAGCGTAATCAATTGTTGAGATGACATCACTCGGTAGTTTGATGTGAAACTGTGCATTTGAATGTACTAACTCTGATTTCTTTATAATAGCGGTGACAGGAACTAAGGTTCACGATATGTACAGTGCAAATATTGACATTTTATTCACAATCCAAAACTACCAGTGAACCTACACGTCTTCTGAGTTTGTGTGTATATTCACTGGTAGTTTTGGATATATAATGTTTATAATAGTCCCCCCCCCCGTGACCCAGATGGATAAGCGGCTTAGAAAATGTGTGTGTGTGTGTGTGTTTATAATAGTAAAATAGTTGAAAATTCCCCCCAAAAAACTTCTATGAGCATTTAATGTCACAACTTTCTGTCAGGTAGCATTTAGAGGCATTAATTAAACTCATTTCTCTAGAACAGCACATCCCATATCAAACCACTCTGAAAGACTTTACATTTCAATTATTTAATTACACAGAAATTTGGAAAAATCTGTAGAATTCCAAAAAACAAAACTATTAATGTAAACTAAAGGTCATCATATTGTGTGATTATGTATTTTAATATTTACTCTATATCAAACTTGGGGAAAAAACTGTATTCATGCAAACACCACTAGAAGAATGTAACATTATGATACAGGCAACTATACTGAACAGAAACAACCACTACACCTCCTTTTAAAATATGACCGTATTTTCTATGGCTGACCAATTTCTGGAAACTCCTTGATCCTCATGCCAGACTGCAGTTTGGGCTCTTCTATGTGCAAGCTCTTGGCCTCAGAAGTAGTGTTGTTGGTGAACTGGATCTGCACAGCCACCATGTGAGGGTCAGGGCTGAAGGGCTGTCTGCTGAAGCAGTATTCCACTGCTAGACCCTCGCCTGTGATGCGGTGCAACAGCTCATACATCCTCAAAGAGCTGGATGGGGCAATAGTCTGAAAATATGAGAAAAGAAACCAGGCTTCACAAAGGTGTAAAGTAGAAAGCACTGTTTAGACAGTTTGTCTAAGAAAAGAAAGAAAGACAGAAAGACAGATGTGGTATAGGGGACTCACGGTGGGGGCAAGTACAGTGTCGGTCAGTGACAAGCCCTCTAGATCGGTCACCAGACTGTTGGACAGGAAACTGTTGACAGGGGTCACTTGAGGTGAGGGCGTAGGCTCAACTGAGGTAGAGAATATCAAAGTGTTGTTAATGATGGCAGATGTGTCTCTTCGCAGTAAATATTTAATTCTTGCTTTATACTAGATACGCTTATGAACCATCATTCAATAAGTGGACAGACTGTACTTACAGTCATCCAGATCTAGTAGTGACATTTCCTTGGTCTCTTTCTTGCTTTCTTTTTTGGTCTGCTTTGGAGGTGGCTTTGATACAGCTGTCTGTAAAAACATAAGAAAACAAACAAAAACACAAAATGATTGATCAAATATATTTTGCTGCTAGTGGCATCTTCTGTATGTCTCAACTAAACAAAATAAAGATGAAATCAGTGAACTCATAGTGCAGTAGGAGAAGGAAGGAATGTATTACATAGCAAATAAAATGGTCATAGACCTTGTTCATTCTAATATGAACTGCTACATTTCAAACTTTAAAACAAACATTAAATCATTAAAAAAGCAGAGTATTATTTTATTATCTCTGCAGTTTTATGACACTGCCCATGCACAAGGGCAGAACATGCTTTTTTTAATGTCCAAGCTAGGCTGTTGCCATCACCATAATGGTGTGATCAGCCAACCTGGGTTATTAACATGTCAATTCTCTGCGTTCCTAGAGTGGTCAGTGACATAAAAAGGTCGGCAACAGACAACACAGACAACAACATATAAACATATAAACTTTGGTGATGTTGGAGCCACAATTACATGACAATCAGATACCTATGGGAGGATGACAAAATTCATACAGCAATAGGAGCAGTATCAATCTGTCTAGCCCTGGAGAGGTCTTTCAAAAACATGGAAACGGTATTTCGGTGTGAATGGAAGCCCAATATAGAGAAAAAACTTATTCAAATGTGTTCATATTAGTGCAAACAAGGCCACTGGCAACTAACACCAAGAACTTTTATAGTGATGTTAATGTTGTCCTTAACTAACTACAGTATCCTTTGGAGCACTGAGAGCTTTACTGAGAGAAAGAAAGAGAAGAAGCCACAGCACACTTGTGGGCACCTCTTGCCAGTCTCCACTGAGACCAATCTGCCCCAGGCTGTTGTCAATAACTTCCTCTTGCTGCAGGGTGGTGGGAAGGTGTGCGGGGGAATGGGGCTATGGAGCAGTAGTAGGTGATGGGGTTACAAAGAAACATAGAGACATGGTTAGAAGGATGGTCTGGTGTTGTTTGTGGTGGGGAGATTATATTATCAACAATGTAATTCTGCCTGTACAATTTGTGATTCATGAATGATGGAACAAGACTAGAAATGGGTAGGGTATAATAAAACCATACTCCAGCAGCAGTGTTAAACGACAAACCATACTCCAGCAGAAGTGTTCTACTTCCAGTAGAAGTAAAAGTAGCCCACAGTAAAAACAACTTTGAGTTTGAGTTTAAAAAAATAGTTAAAAAGCTACTGAAATATAGAGAACTGCAGTAAAACTTTTGGCATCAATCAGCACAGGAGCTGAGGTTTGTTAAACGCTATTCAATACTTTTTCAGTAATTTAGCCAAAAATAAAATGTAAAGCTTGAGAGTAAGAGGTGAGGGGCACAGCAAAGCAGTCCAGATGCTAAAGCAACAGAACAGAATAAAATTAAACCCAAAAAGGAATCATGAACTCAATCAAGTTCATCAATGTGTAACTTAAGGACTTACATAACATTCAGCTAAGTAAATAAACTATTCGCTACCCACCTCTGTACATGATCACAAATGAAAATGAAAAAAAAAAAAATACAATTACAATTACAACAATTACAGAAAACTTTACTGAAGCTAAAGTTGTAGCTGATGTTAGTGTGTGTCCAAACCTTCTTCTTCTTCTTGATGTCTGTGTCTGACTCTGACTCTTCCTCAGACTCTGACTCGGACTCACTGCTCTCAGACTCACTCTCTTCCTCGCTTTCCGACTCAGAGCCACTCCTCCGCTGCTTCCCTGCTTTTCGGTCTCTCTTCTGCTCCTCTCCGCTGCTCTGATCACTGGAAAAGAAATGTGTTACACACGTAGAAGTTCTTCACACAAAATGTACACTTGCTTGCTTTAGCTGGTAATACCTGAAACAGTGAAAATGAAACAGACCTCTCAGCACTCTCAGGTTTCTTAGGTTTGCTTTTGTCTACTTTCTTCTTTTTCTTTGCTCTCTCTTCCTCTTCGTCTTCCTCCTCCTCCTCCTCCTCCTCCTCAGACTCAGATTCCTCCTCACTCTCTTCACTCGCTGAACCAGAGCCACTCTCCTCACTGCCGCTCTCCGACCCACTACCTGAGTCCGACTCTGCAGGGGAGGGAGAGAAATGTATAAATCCATGAGTTTTGAGACTAAAGCAGCATTCACACTATTGGGGCAAATGCGTATTGCGTGCTGCCCTGTACAGCACCAAAACTGAGCTACTCCAGCACTCAAGGTGGCAAACAACCCATCACAGGGATTCAAACAAAAATGTTTTAAACTGATTGTCTTGTGAATAAAGAAAACCTGAAATACAGACCATGTGTTTTTTGATCTTGTACAGTGACATGTTGCAATATATGTTAACTTTTAACGCTGCATGCTGAATAGCTCTAGGCAGTTCTGTGCAGGGAGCAAACAGCTCCAGTAAACATGAACAGCCAAGACATGCAAAAAACCTTTTTGTTGTGACAGTGTGAACGCTGCTGAAGTCTTGAGCTCTTTGAGTGGCATAAATACTGTTTTTTTTCACCTAAACAGTTTGCTTAAATTTAACTTTGCTGCAAGCCAAGTGCTTAATAAGATGCTAAATAGCTCTAAAACACTGTGAAGTAAATCAGTAAAACTGATCCAATTTGTTGCATCCTTTATAACACAGTGTAGAACATTTCATTATCAGGCACAAATGGTGCCACAGCTTGGTCTCCATAGTTACCACTGTCAGCCGACTCTGTGGGTCCAGATTCTCCCTCCGAGTCGGAGTAGAAAGGCTTTTCCACCTTCTTCTCCTTTCGTTCCTTCCTGCTGGTGCATTTAGTCCATTCTGGAACCTGAGGAAGACCACAGGACACTGTCAACATATAGACACTCACACGACTCCATGTGTGTTCAGTTTTAAGAAGAGGTGAGGCACTGTGTGGCCATGAATGCCTCTCCCACCACTACAGACTGTCTAACGTATACTTACAAAGCATGTGCTAATATCTGATTTTGGCATTAACATGCTGCCTTACTATTTGACAGACCTTTCCTTTTTCCTCTTTTATGAATCATGTATTCAGCATAAGGTGATGCATTCATGGCCACTGCTGTACTTATTAAGTACTGAGAAATGTCTCCTTAAAGAAATCACATCCTAAAAAGTACCAAATGGCCTTCCCTGGAGTCATTACAGTGTTTTAGTGTAATGCTACATACAGCAGCAGTTTTAACGTAGAGATCCCATTTAGGATAAAGTACATTAAATGAAGAATGCTAAAGTAATAGAGGAGGGCAGTTGGCACTTTATGAGGATCCAGCTCTTTAACGGTAGAGACAGAAAATGAAGCTGAGCTGGGGGCTTTAGGCTGATCTAAGCACTGGACAGACACTAGGCTAGGCTGGGTGAGAAGGGTTACGGCTGGACAGGCGCTAGGCTAGGCTGACTGGCAGAAAGCACTTTGGGTTTGGCACTACACGGATCGAGACTCAAAGATGCGCAGAGCTCTTTGTGAACTGACAGACTCACGCTGGTTAGAGTCGTGACTCTTTCGAGCAGCCTAATAACCTGGCGGACAGGAAAGAAAGAAAAAAAGAACGAAAGAATGATGAGGTGAGATGATGAGAAGAAGAGCCCAGAAAAGAACAGAACAGAAAAGGTTTAAAAGGTACACACAAGGATTCAGGTTGCACTTTTCAACATTATACTGCAGGTACATCAGGTGTGATCCCATGTACAATAAATCATTACCTTTACTGTAGAATCTTATTGTACTTTACGTTATAATACTACTGAAATCAACAGTCGGAATGACTGTCGCTCTACCAACCAAAATTATTTCACTGTACTGCCATTTCTGTTTGTAGGATAGATTTGTAGCAAAATATAGTTGAAATGGATCCTTAGTTATTATAAAGCATGTGTGAGCATCTTTTGTGTTTAGTAGCAGTGCTATGGTAGCCTCTGTAATTCAGCAATGGAAGTGCAACAGAAATGGGATGAACACCTGGGTTTGGATGAAGATGGAAGTTAAACACAGGCCAACAGCAGATTTCAGAGTGAGAGAGGATTCAAACACACACACACACGCAAACACAACGCCTTGGTAAAGGGAAATTCGATCTGACTTCTCCCTGTTTGCTTAAAAGAGTTTCACTAAAATTAAAACTGCTCAGCAGTCTTTTCATAACTTTACCAGCAAGAAACTTACTACATCAATAAATTTACAGTGCTTGCATGACTAAAGTATCACTTAAGAAAGCCTAAACATATAAATTCTTGCTCTAGGAGCAATTGGTCAGAACAAGAGAAAGAGGCAGGAGACAGCAGGAGGAGAAGCCACTGCACACTTGCAGGCACCTCTCGCCAGTCTCCAAGGAGACCAATTCGCCCCTCACTGGTGTCTATAGCTTCCTCTTGCTGCGGGATGGTGATGTGGTGGGGGCAGGGGTGAGGGGTTATAAACAGATGAACAGAAATGGTTAAAGAGGGGAACAATCAAAAGGGTGAGGTTCACTAGTGTGGGGGGATTACATTACAAACAACACAGTTAACTCCTCAACAGGAAATCTGCATTATGAGTGGTGTAAAGTATGCATTGTGAGTGATATAAAACAAGTACACAAAAACACTGCTAAATTGAACAAAGAAAACTGAACAAGGACAAGACACAAATCAAACAGAGCACCCTGCTTTGAGTTACGGTGGCACCGTTACAAGCGCAGGCATATTCGATTTGATCTTAGCCCTTTGGAATCTCTGAGACACTGGATATGGAGTGGCACATGTGTTAATGGATTTTAACAGCGGCCTCATCTCAGAAAGAATAGGCCTCCTGTCCTCTGTCACATGTGTCATTTCATTCATAATTGCATTCCACAGATAGACAAAGTGAACCTAGACTCAACTCATCATCAGTTCTGAAACCTTAAAAATCTGACTGCAGTGTTTCCCAGTCCAGCACATTTTTGCTCTAGCCTAACCCTCCAGATCATCTATAATAAGTATTCAGTGTTCTTAATAGGCATATTCGAGATTTACTGCACCTCAACCTGCTGGTCACTGAGAGTAGCCAGCTGCAGTTGATGGAAGTGTTACAGACAGAGCTGTCAAGTCGGACAGGCTCACCGGCATCATATGTGAAAATAGTAATCACTAACAGTTTAAATCTAAAGTTAGATCACTGCTTATGTCAACACGGTTGTCTGTAAAACTTCTGGCCAATGAAGTCAAGGCCCTGTCTTCATCAAGCAGTCTCTAAGCTTGCACAGGTGAGCGATGAGCACTGTGGGGCATTGCTCTGAAAACTGTAGCCGCTTTGCCTCTGCGATATTATAATCTATGTCATTGTGACAAGCCAGTGGCACTGATGCAAATCAGACAAAAATATAGCTGGCATTCATTGTACCAAGCCAGGTGGCAATCGGTCTGCATAGCCCATGTTAAGTCAAATAAGCTGAAGTGTGTTGGGAGCTAGGTTAGAGCAAAACTGTGCACAGTCTGGCAGGGCCTGAGGACTGGATTGGAAAACACTGTTCCAGAGAATCCTAGAACTCCAGTTAAGGGCCTGATTACTACAGAATTCAGCTGGCTGAGAGTTCTAGAACCCCAGTACACTGGCCTGGGACAGCAGAACTTTGTTTGAGTTGAGATGGTTTCAGTCTGAGTGTGAAGTGCAGGCTTTATGAGGGGTGAAGGGCTCTGTGGGCACTGCTCTTCCAGAGGGCCCAGCAGAAGACTGGCATGAATGGTATGGCATGGAGATGCCCCATTGGCATCTGAAAAGGCCTGACACTAAGCACGAGGATTATGCAGTAATACAGTCTAGTAATAGTCTCTCTTTCTCAACACTCAAAAGCATAACACTCCTTCATCTGGCACAGGGACAAAATATCCTCTGTGACTTTGCTTTCTCCTATAACACCCAAGACTCAACAGGAGCGCAGGATGAAGTGCTGAGAGCCAACTGGAATGCAGGATGTGTGACTATGCGTGATGAGGGTGGAGTTATGCTGATGAGCGAGGAGAGAGATAAAAAACGTGGCTGAGGGGAGAGCTGATTTTTGTCAGGGGGTTCATTTTTTCTGATGTGTCCTGCATGTTGGGGCTCCCTCTGGTGGGGCGGAGGAGCAGTGCCCACAGGCCTGAGCCCCGGGGCCCTGCCTCTGAGAGTAACTGTTCCCCCTGCACGCACAGAATCCTTCACCTCCACGTTGCGCACGGAGGGGTCGGGCGCCGATTCAGGCCAGTCAGGCAGCTCCTGGTAGCCGCCTGCTTTGGTATTCAGCAGATGAGACAGCGAGCCCAGCTGGAAATGGTCTCTGTCTGTAAGGTAGAAAAGCACACAACAGACAAGAGAGATCACAACTCAGCTTCAAACTTCCTTTCTAGAGGTGAGAGAAGCCAATAAAAATATAACAGCATACATTGTAAGAAGTAGAATAGTCGAAAGCTGATTTAAAGTCTTTGTGTGATTCACTGTGATGGAAAATGTTCCTTTTGCCCAACTTAAGTGTTTGTTTGCTTTGCTTTGTTTCAATGAAGGTATTTATTTGACTAGAATAAAACCAGCTGAACTGCTTTTGGGGTTTTCTGCCCCGACATACCCACTTTTCCTACTCAGGAAATACTTTAATTTGCTAATTTGTTTTATCATATTATGACACTGCACGACAGGTGAATACTCCAGGACCAGGGTTGAAAACTACTGCTTTACACATAGACCCTTAGTGGAGCATGGACATATTTTGGTTACAAATTACTTAGTTTTCTTACTGGCAACATTATCAGAACATCAATAAAACCCTAAATCACAAAATCAACAATAAAATATTTTTTCTAGCTTCTGAGCCTAACTTTACTTAAAGGTCTATAGTTCTGTATTTTTAAAAATGGCATCATTAAACCTACCGAAAGAAGATATTTGGAGCATTTTGTGCAAGCATTTCAAATGCCAAGTCACTACTGACTGTTGCTTTACCTTTAAACGGAGACTCCAGCACAGGTGCAGGTTTGAGGGCAAGGAAAAGTTTCTTGGCATATTTGCTTAGAGCTCCACTCTTATCGGTGGGGACAATGAGCTGACGGATGAACCGCGCCCGGTCTCTGATGTCATAGTTCTGGTCATACTTTGCCAAGTTGAGCACATACTGTGTAAGGAGCTTAGTCTAAAATGAAGACAGAGAGAGCATGGGAGGGAGAGAGAAAGAGAGAGAGAGAGAGAGAGAGAGAGAGAGAGGAATGATAAAACTGAGTGAAACAGCATAACGAGTGTGTGTTTGAGCTGTGTGTATGTGTTGGCATGTGTTTTTGTGCACTCTCAGTGATGTGACAGACAGATTGACGTGGTCACGCCTGATAAAACAATGACGCACACTTTCACAGGTTTCAGGACTGTCTCTCACACTTGTGCTTAACCTCTCTCAGGATTTCAAGGAACAGTCCCCTCTGAGACAAGAAGATCTATTCTGTAGTCCAGTGTCTTCCTGTTGCACACTGTTGCACACATACCCCCAGGGGTGCCACCAATGACGTTGAGGGTACATCAAAAAGTCTTATATTTACATTTCATTTAATCTGAGAAAATAACAACAGTAGAATTATTTCATTTATTTACTGTCTGCTGTTGTTTACATGAATAAAGTGAGTATCTTCTACTAGCTGTCGTTACAGCATACTGTCAGTTGTGTACACGATAGAGTAAGAAATTAAAAGGTTTAATCTGCATTTGTAGTAAGTTTGTAGCCTGCTGTGATTAGCACTTAGCAATTAGGACTTTGATTACATCTTTCTACAGCTGCTTTGTGATGTGGCTGAAGATGCCTTGTACAGGCATCAGACTATAACTGCTACCCCATTTAAGGTGGAATGGAAAATTCAAACAAGAAGCCAAGTTCATCTTGTAGCGGTGTTAAAAAGTGAGCAGAAGATGTTACTGTGCTGGATGTGCTCTGCAGCAAGCATTTGTGAGTACTTTATTCACTGTCCAATTCTCTCAAACTCTCTCAGGCACATGTATGCCTCTCATTTCTTGTATTTCATTTCATGTATTTCCTTCTCATTTCTGTGCTCTGACCAGCACCCCAGAGTGTACCACACCTGTAAGACAGGTCTCAGAAGCATTCCCAATATTACTTATTCTGTACATCTGGTGTGTTGCGTCTTTACTTCATAAACATGTTTGCTATATTAAGAGGGATTATAATGTCATACATATACATCATGGATATATATGAATATGCATGAGAGGTGGTAGGCAACAGAAGATTTAGAGTCTGTAAAAAGCTTGGGAATCACTGCTGTAGTCTAATGAGCAACGATTGTATCTGATGTGCCTCTGAAACTCCCACATCTTCAATCAGTAATTCATACAACTGCTTGGTCTAAGCTATTATGTGACTGGGTTACTGAGTGACTACTTTTCAGTACCTCTGACAGCTCCACAGAACAGATCACAGAGACCCATAGTGTGTCCTGACTCACTGCAAAAACCATAAAAGCCACCCATCACCTCTGAGTGGGTGAATTCAGATTTCAGGCTCGCACCTGTTTGGAGTTGGTCAGGTAGAGTTTGGCAGCCAGGTTGATTATCTGCAGCTTGACAATGTCCTCCTCATTGGTGAAGGTCTTGGCCATCTTCCTCAGAACATCAGGGAGCAATTTTAGGTACATGTTCACAGTACTCGCCAATCAGCCACAGGATGCTGGCTCTTGCCATCGGCACCTGAAGAACAGAGGCAAAGGCAAAGGCTAGTTAAAGGTGTTATCTGTATTTACTGCACTGCTAGAACTGCTACACACCAACTAACATAGATTTGGTGCCTCAGAAAATTTGTACCAGATTTTCTTTACAAAAATTATTTTTCCACTGGCCTTTCGTGTTATTTGGTCTGAATGTAAAAGGCTGTGAGTTTATTAACCCCTTAAAATCCCAGGCTAATTACATATTAAGGCTTATTTTTCAGAGACTTCAATACAAACTGGCTGAGCTATTGCTTTGATTAGATTATGGAAGTGTATAATAAAACTTCAGGCCTGCTGGTGTGACATTTAAAGAGTTAATTCAACATTTATTGCCATATCAATAAAATTGTTTGCAATTTAGTTCAGTGTGCTCAGCAACAAAACCATACAAAGAATGAGGAGCAATAAAATCAAACAATAGAACACAGGAAACACAAATAAAAAGGACTCTACGAACAAACATAAAACATAGGGTTGCATACCCTATATACTATTGCATCAGTATTAGCACTGATACCACCCCTTAAAAAGCAGTATCAATATCTGCGACGGGGACAGTGATACCTATGACTGACACTACGAAGCAATGCTGCTGAACGATACGTGCATGTACGCTGGAACATAACAACACGTAGGTGGCGTGAGTTCACAAGCAGCAGTAAAAATGCTCATGGCAGAATCTATAATGCCAGTATTTTGTGGGAAGGCAATAACATTGGGTGATATACCAGTAGGAATTTGGAACTAACCGCTGGTATTTTAGGATACCTATATATAGTTCAGTTCTATTTTCAACTACTTTGCTCAATAAAAATATTATACATTTGCTTCACTTGTTATGCTTATTAATTAGGGTTGTTAATTACAAAATAGTAAACACTTTTGATATATAGTAAATAAACAAAATAGTATATAAATATGCCATTCATTCAAGCTTAGTATGATTTATTTGTGACATAGAACACACTTTTTTACCAAAATAAAATATATAAAAAGTGGAACTGTATATAAATCAAGACTTGTTAGCTAGTAAGGTTAGATTGACTTAGTATCTGCCTTGATACTCGATATTGGTTGATACTAAAGGGTCAGGTATTGGTATCGGTTTTAGAAGAGGAAAAGTGGTTTTGGTGTATCACTGATAAAATAGTCATAAAAGCAGACACTGTAAAAATGTACCATGACAGTAAAATGTAATAAAAAACACAGTGGAACAAATAAACTACATATGTTGCTGAAAACTGTTCAGATTTGAATGGCCTTGCAGTAGGTGCTACTTTTCTTTTTTTTACATAAGGTAAATGTGTCAGCAAAGAACCGGGTTTTTTCAGATTTTAATTCACTCAGAGATCTACAAATGGAAGCATGCAAACACTATGCAAACCACCAGGCAGAGCTATGTCACCATACAACTGTGCCATCCTGTTTATTTGATTATTTCAACTAGAAATATATTAATCGATTTCTGTTCCGCTGCTAAAATGGCCACTAGGGGGCCTGCAGACAGGGGTTAGGTATTCTGATGGAGAAGACTGAGCTTCTTTGAAAGTGATTTGGAGACACCCACCTGTATGTTGTCTGTGAGCTTGGCCATATGTTTGATGATGTCACTGTGCTGCTCTGGCTGCATCTGCAGGAGCTTCTTAATCACCACCACAGACTCAGCTACTACCAGCTCTGTATCATGAATACAAACACATATATAGACAAACTGTAATTTGTAAAACTGCATTTTCTACATTACATTCTGACATCACCACTCGTCTCACATCTATAGCCATCTGGATAATATTTACACACATACTCACCATCTCTGTTTGACAGGAGTTGTACCAGACCATTGAGGCAAGTATCTCTCACCTCCCCAATGTTAGTGGCACAGCGGCCAATGGCCTGGATTGTGGCTGCCACAAAGTCCTTATCCATGCTTTTGATATAGGTCTACATAGATCAACAAAGAGAGTGAAGATTACCATACTTGTCAGTTAGGTATTCATTTGAATTTCTCCTGCACTGTCACAGGTTTTCTTACCTGGAACTCTCTCAGAATGGTTGAAATGTTTGTTTCATTTGCCAGATTTGTTAAAACTTCAAGCTGCAATGTTGATAAAAGAAAAACAACACCAATGAACAGTAATCACTGTTAAAACACATCAAGGTTCCATAAAGTACTGACATAAGGTGAATCATCTCAGAATGTTTAATCACCTTGAGTATTTTGATCTGTGTGGGATCAGTGGACCGGATATAGAAGCTCTTCAGGTATGGCTCGAACATCCCCTGCAGCAGAAATGCAACCGCTGTGTTAAGGCTCAACAAGAAAGAAATTAACATACATTAAAGCAGGACAGCAACAAAACAGCATTTAAATCTACTGTGATAGAATAACTTTCAAAAATATCTAGACACCATCAATCTAACATAACTATTAAAAGATGACAGATTTTAAAGATTCAAAAGATGAGAAAAATCTTTTGATTGTTTTTGGATTTTTGTCCAATTATTTCAATATTTGTCAACTCCCTATCTAGATCTCCTTTATTGGACTAACAGGGCTACTACATGATTCCTTCATGACAAATGTGGACAATCACCTGAAATGCTGCTTGAACAACACTTTAGGGCATCTAAACATAGAAGAGAGTGCTCACTGCTCATTTCTATATATGGCCTAACAGACACCCATTATTGGACAGCACATCCAGAAACTGATTAGAAAGAGGAAATTAAACATACAGCAGCATTGAAATCCCTTTAGGGTCAGGTGACCAGTAATTAGACATAACCCTCTCTTATCTAACAATTTCTGTTGTGCTGTAAGGCCTGAACCACTGAAGTGCAGTAAATGCAGAAAACTCACCCTCCTTTTGATGGTCATGGTAGCAACGTTTTGTAGAACTACATACTGAACTTCGCTGCAGAGAAATATGAAAAAAGAGCATCATGAAACTCTACCACACATAAAAAACCATTGTAGGAAATGACCAAATTTACATTCAAAAAATCAGTTTAAGTGGACAACAATAATGCTCAGTTTGTAGAAAAGTATCTACAAATATCTATCAGATAAAACTAAATAGATGAGTTGCATCTGAAAGAGCTAGGATGAGCTTAGATCAGGCATGTGCACGGACAGACCTTAGTGGGGGCTTGAGCCCCAGCCCCTTTGCCCCTTTCACTGTACAAGTGCCATCTTGGTTGGTGTGTATAATAACTGTATTTTATATTGCCTCTGCCATTCTTCAAAAATCTGTTTCAGTGAGATGAGGCTCAGCCTCACAATGGAAATACAGCCTGTGGGTTGGCTGGCGTTTCTATGAGATTTATCTCTCTTGGGCGCCCCCTTTGGTGCAGTACTGACTAGCTGTGGTTCTCTTGGGTAACTCCCACCTGCCATGCTGGAAACCCCGCCAATAAAATGAAGTTAGTACATCTGAGAAGGAGTCACATTCCAAATGTGGTTATTTTGAACAACAACCAAACATAATGTCAGCAGCAAGGGGTGTCATAAGTTGTTGCATCAAGTTTTCGTTATTGTGAAAAAACAGGAATTTGAAGCTCTTAAATGGAGTTACAACAAAATACTACGTAGTGATTGTATAGTACAGTGAGTAGCACCGTGGCTTTACGCGCTGGTGACTGGGTTTCAAATCGTTGCATAGCAAATAATGTTAGTTATTTTGGCTGCCTTTTGAAAAACTTTCAACTCTGTGTTTTGATTTATCTGAAACATATTTACAGTGGGTTTCTTTATAAATGTGACAGCAAAATACAGTAAATTAAATTTAACTTCTGTTCAAGTCGCCCCTTTTTTCTTCTTCAAACCCTGCCTCCAAAAATGTCTGTGCACAGGCCTGATTTGGAACTTATTTTTTACAATTTGAAAACAGTAAAAGAGTAAGACAAGTAAAAGAAATTAGTAAAAAATTAGATTCTCTGCTCCTCAACCTCAGGTCTCCTGGTCTCACTATATAGTACAGGCAATGCCAAAACTCTCAGACTCAGAGTTGACAAACAGTAGTGTCACTCCCCTCAGGGCTCAAGGGCAATGCAATCTCATCCTGGCATTTATCTGGCGCTGACTGATGACCTTATCACTGAACACTTGGCCTCAAAGGTCTCATAGAAAGTTTACAAACACAGAATTAGCAGAGTCAGCTAAGGGGAAAGCCCTTATTCCATCTCCGTTCTCCTCTTACTGACCTGTGGCTCCTCATTAGCCTCACCAGAGCCTTGGCAATGACGCCCACCTCGGCTTTTGGAGCGAGATGGAAATACAGCTGAGCCACTGCCATCACCACCTACAAAAAAGGAGAAAAAAAGATAGTTTGATATGTCAGTACAGAGCAAACATTTGATAGTATCAGTGACTGATGCTTCTCTGAATATGTATTGTGTCTAAATTGCAGCCACAATGTTCTTGTTTCATATTCTATGTGGTGCGGGTGTGTTTAGGCATTAATATTGTACTGACCGCAGCATTGCGGCTCTGTAGCAATGGTTTGGTGTTTCTGAGCAGCAGTCTGTGGTCAGGGTCCATAACATAGGGCTTCCTCTTGGCCAGAGCAGCTGCCTCAGCTTTTTTCTCTTCATCGTCATCATCATCATCGTCAGAACCATAAAAAGCCTTCTCTCCTCCCTCTTCCAAAAGGGACTCCTACAGCACACACACAAGAAAATACAACTGCTCGTGTTTAAATGTACCGAATATTTATGATGACAGCAACAAAAGAAGAGAGGTGGAGACTTCCAGGTACAGGACTTACATTAATGTTGGGGTTGAGAAACTGGGTTCTGGCATAGCGGGTGAGCATGTTGATGATAACCACCTGACCCCACTCCTCCACATCAATCAGCAGATTGCAGAGTTTACGGTAGTTCTTATGGATCAGATCAATCCGCTCCGGACATACTTCCTCAAATGCCATCACCACACTGCCTGCTACCAACTACACAATAACCCATAAATACATACATAAATTGTTGAAAAAATGGAAGGCATCTTATTACTGATTAGTGCAGGATATAAAATGCAATGCTTGTTAAAGCTGTTGGATATCATTATGACAATATGAAGAGTGCTAAATTATCATTAAAAATGAAAAGACATGAAATACTAACAGCTACTTATCAGAACAGAAAGCAGACTTCTTGTGTACTAAAAGGCTGAGAAACGGCATATGTGTGTGTGCAAATAAATATTAGAGACACATCTTAACAACGTGTTTATCGCAATAACGATGACAATACAATTTATCGTGCAGCCCTAATGCTAATCTGTGATCACGTAAGTAATACCGCCACCAATTGCACTTACAGTGGTTTTATCAGCAAGCAGCTTTTCAATGACCTCAATTAGCTGGTCTTTCTGTTCAGGGTCCAAGCTGCAAACAGAGATAGACAGATGGATGGATGGATGGATAGATAGATAGACAGAGAGAGAAAGAGAGAGAGCAAGTACATGATTGGGATTCATGAAGCCGGCACTCGCTTCAAAACAACAGGGTTGAACGGCAGCAAAAACACAACACACTGTTTACTGGTTTACTTCTTATATCATTGTGTTATGCTCAGTGCTGGGATATTTTTCTGCAATGCAATATAGTTTAAAATTTTGTAATCATATCGCAGTTACTGACTTAATACAAACTACACTTACATTTTTAAGAACAATGTAAATTAAGTGTGATGCATTTCTCTAAATAGATTATGTGGCTACCCTTGTACATAATTTGTACACACGTGTACTACCCGCGACAGCTAACTGAATGACTTTGACTGTAAATATGAGAAGTGCAACAAAAGCACAGGAAATACAGCTGTAAACTCAACAATCTGATGATGCATCTAATCATGCTTACATGAACCTGACGGATAAAGATCTGTGTTGAAGAAGAAAGAGCCTCAACCTCACCTAAACAAACTTAAATTTCATTCAGAAATGAAGGCAGTAGTTTTAAGAGGCAGCTGTTTTTGATTTTTCTTTTGTACAGACTAGTTCTAGGTTTTCAAACAGCATTAGCCACTTCTAATTTAATCAAGCATAACTGGTAGTCTTGTTCTTAGCAGATGCAGGGATAGTGATACGCCTTTTCAATTATTTTTGCTGTGAATACTAAAAGGTCTATTGGGTCTTCCCTTGCACTTCCAGTTGGTTCAGGTGTGTGGGGGTTTTAGAGAGTAACACAGAATTACGAATAACGAGTAGTGAGATTACTTTTTCCAGAAAGTAATAAGTAAAGTAATCCCCAATGCATTTTGATAGAAAGTAATTTGTAATTGCTTGCTTTCTTAATTATCTTGATAATTACCCTGACACTGGTTATGTATATGCTTTGAATAGGAGTAATCATCAGGACTCATTAGACCGCTACCTGTAGAGTTTGGGGATGGCATGTGCGGCTGTCTTGCGGACGTATGGAGACATATCAGAGGCAGCCTCTTTAATGGCCAACATCATAATGGGCACAATGATAGTGACTCTGATACTGGAGAGAACACGCAAGGCGCTTGCACGAATCAGCTGATTAGGATCCTGAGGTTTGGGGAAAAAAAAGGCAAAATGAGAAATACATTATGGTGTTAAGCCAGTGTCAAATACATTGCTAATCCCACAAACCAGTGATTCCCAATCCTGGTGCTTGAGTAAACTTGTACATTTTAGCATGACTTGGCTTCAACTATACTTAATTCAACACAACAGCTATTAAACAAGCCCTTCATGAGGTTATAATGCATATGTTACAGGTGAAAAACCAAAACAAAGGTACTGCAACACCAGAAAAGCACTCAACTATGGGGCAGCAGATAAGTCCTTTCCTGACATAGTCACTAGATGGCGTTTCCACCACATGAACACTCCAAAAGCTACTGCATAGTCATGGCCAATGACAATGCGTGACTAGGAGACTTTATGTCACACAGTCAGGGGCTGTATGGCTCAGTGGTGAGCAGGATCATACAGTGAAGTGAGCTGTAAGCTTCATCTTAAAGCCTGCTTTGGCTGAGTAAGAAAAGCATCACTATGATGATGATGCTCCAGGCTCAGAGGACTTAAGTGAAAAAACATCAGCACAAAGCAGATTCTTTAACTCAACATCTGCTGTTCTGAGGTCAGTTTGCCCTTAGTTAAATTCTTTTGTGTACATATTTCTTTAATTATATTTTAAGTTAAAAATGACTATACTGTAAATTACTAAGTTATGTTGTTCTGAGAGTGAGAATTCAGGAATTGAGGGATTATGACAAAATTAAATATTATTAGGGGTTTAAGGTTCAGATCATAAGTACTGACCTTGAGTCCCCGCTGGAATGTAGAGATGGAGAGCAGAGCCAAATCCTGCTGCTCCTCAGCATAGCGCACTAGATACACATACACCAGCTTCTTTACCTGTGAATAGAAGAATATACATTAGGAACTACACATTTACATATGTTTTACTCACTGTTATGGGTAATGTAGCGTAAACCCTTTCTTAAATATTAGTGTCACTGTATTTAAATAATGACTTCAGTAGAACTAAAAGTAGACAAGCAAAAACAAAAACAATCTAGCATCCATCACTGTTTGTTAAGTTATTCTTCTCTTTTTGGTCTAAAATGTAATGCTAAATGCTGAGGCTTGTTGCATCAGCTGTATGTAAGTTCTAGGCTAATCATAAGTAAGCTCCAGTTCCATTGTAAAAACACCTACTTGTTTGCATTATTCTCTTCTATACTGGATTTTCTTTTTCATTGACTGCTAGTTTATTGATTCTGTACATTCTGTATGGAAACGCTATGTTAGTGTTTGTCGCTGTCAGTTGTTACTTGTTAAAAAATGACTTACAGATTGGTGGTGCAAGTAAATTTAGTAAAATGATAGTCTGAAACTAACTAGTGTTAACTAAGGACTTTTACACACAAACTTAAGTGTAAACTCACACAAAACCGGTGCAACCCAGTCCAAGTGCTGAACCAACAGAACAGAATGAAATGAAACCCCCAAAAATAAGTTGGAAACTATTTGGGATTTAGAAATGGAATGGCTGAAGTCTAACATAGTAAACAGTAGGCTACTTTGCTCACAAATGTACTTACAGTAGAAGCAATATCACTTGAAAACACTCAGAAGCACAAATCCATCCACACATACATACATCATACATACATGCAACTGAGTAAATGTTCTAATGATCACCAACCTCTGCTCACAGACACACACACACACATACAAACACTCACATATTCGGAGGATGGCCAAATCACTAATGGGGCTTGTAATAAGCTCTTATGATTCAGCACTTCAGCTGAGTAATCACAGTCAGAAAGGTTACTGAAGGGCTGCTTCATGTGAATAGGTGAAGATTTGAACTCCCTAAAAATGTCAGCTTTTTGCCACAATCCCGCTACTCTTCTCAGTTTATAATATTTGCCCTCACTGATGTAGAACAGAAATGTCAACATGTTGTGCTGGTTTTCTCTCACAGTCCTCTTTTCAAACTCACCTCAATGTTCTTGCAGGCCACGTTCTTCACCACAGCAGGAAAGAGATCAGACGCATTTTTTCCTCTTGCAATCATCTATGGCAATAAAAAAGACCCAGCAGAATATCTACAATCAGAGAATGTCACAATGCTGCTGGGAGCTGTTGCTTACAAACTGTCATCACAGGGACCAGTTATAATGAACATGAACTGCGACTTGTGATGGTATATGCTGTACATGGCACTGCAGGCACTGGATAGTTTTATATTGTGCATTACACAGTCATAAAGAAATCCCTTTGCACGTTTACGCAGACAGCATTATGATTAGAAGCCGAAAGGGGTTGGGCGGCTGAAATACAGGATAACATCTCTGTTTATGGCCTTCAATGAGCTTTGACAGCGAGACAGTGAGACAGATAAAAGACTGCAGAGAGAGAGAGGGACCCTACAGAAATGACTATGTCAGCCACTGGTGATGGATAGTGAATTTGGGGATTGTTTAAGCACCATGTTCTGATCTACAGTCCTTCCAAAGGAATAATTTGTACTCAAATAAAGGACAATATAAAACTAATCAGTGACTAAGATCAATTTGTACTACAGAGAGACGGATTCTGTACAGCTAGATTTTTGTCCTCCAAGATACAAACAATGTAAATGCACCCTGAAACACAAACGTTACAACACTGTCCTTAAATGAAAATTCCAGTGATTTTTTTTAAAAATCTGCAAAATTAAACAATTAAGATGTAAACAAACTCATCCAGTGAGGTTTGGTGTTGAATTCTCCATTCTTATTACACATAATATACACATTACACATAAAACTCCTAAAACACATGTAGGTTCATTAGAGTCCTAATTTCTTTCTCTAAAATAAATCATTCTGCATCAATCTCAGTCACTGAATGACCTTGTTTACATCTTAATGACTGAACTGTGAAGAAATTTTGAAAAAATGGTGGAATTCCCCTTTGAAGTCTAATTAAACGAGTTTTAAAGGTACACTACATTCACTTCCTCCAGGGGAAAGATACATACTGTATTTGTACCTTTTCTTATCTTAATTTCTTTAAATAAGAATAAAATAAAGAGCCTCGAGTCAAGACAGGGTGTTTGGATTCAGTGCAACTTATTAAAATAACTGCAACAGAATATGGTACAGTTATGTTCCTTGGGGTTATAACCCCGGTGAAAGAAAAGTATGCTGAAAAGTACACCCTGAAAAGTCCATTTTCTTTTGATGAAACAAAAATGTTATTCTCATACAAAAAAGGCATACTGACAATATATTAATTATATTTGAAATATAATGTCAACATATTTAATTTTTATTGGGGTTTTGCATGAGTCTCTCAAGGCCTACCACTATAGCCCATTGAAAACAGGACCTAACCTGCTGGCCTAAGATCAGTTTGTTTCCAGTTTTTTTAGAGGTTAGATTAAGAACAGAAAGTGGATCTGAGGTGAGCTCTAACAGGTACTCTCAACCTGTCGCCAATTCCACTGCCTCTTGCTCTGGTTCCACGAATGGAAACTGAGTCAGGCCGGCATTTTTTTTCTTCCCCTCTGCTTCATCCGATAAATATTTCAGCCGTTAGCTGCTCCTCTGCAACCCTGAGAATCTGACACCAGGAATGAATATTTAACACCAGGCTGTGCAATCCCCCCTCTCCTAGCACTGTCCTATTTAATATCACGACATCACAGCAAAGCCCTCTGTGTGCTATAGCAACTGCGCCTAGCAGCATAAAAATTCAGCTCCAGCAACCGCCATAAACCCCAACATCCTGCAAGAAACAAATCGCTCCTCCATGAACTTAGAGCAAACACCTCAGACTGTTCCAGGATTAAAGTATTTTATCTACACAGCGTACAGCCATGCCTTGCTCTTATCTCTTAATTCAGGCACCTAATGTCATGCATATTTTAATCTAATCTTTTGCATAATAGCTTCTATAATGTCAAAGGAAGAAAAACGTGTTTACATGACTAGCTGCTAATCCGCACAGTCAACGCTGTATTCTTAAGAGGCAAATGAGCTCTGTATTTGCCTGACTTTAGTGGGCACCTCAACAAAGATGAAAAATAATATAGATATATATATATATATATATATATATATATATATATATATTTTTTTTTTTCACAGATGAAACTTCAGTTGGAGGTCTAATGGGGTTAGCCCGTGCCAGCAAGCTTGATTTCGTAGCTCTGTATGGAACGGGTTGGAGGCAAGCTTAACTCACAGCTCACTGCTTGGGTTTGCTCACTAAAGCCATAAAGCACCAGCTGACAGCACTGCTTCAGTGAGAATAATGGCCTTGCCTTTATATCTAGGACATTAAATAATAAACTGAGGTCAACATTTCCATATAAACCAAGAAACCAAGAATTTTTCTGTAGGACGAATCAGACCACCACACATGCCCACAAAAGAGGCCGATGTTACTTTAAAAACTACACGACAACACAGATCTCGTAACAGGCTAAAATTCCATAGAGTGAGCAGATGTATTTAGAGCACAGGCACAATAATAAGACATGTCTGCAGCTGTTTCATACTGGAAATTCTTCCTGTGAGCTCTGAGGTCTGATTAATAGCAATGCCAGAGTGGATATATTCACTCACTGCACGTGATCTTCCCTCAGGGCTGACTTCCATTTCATTACATACAGACAGCCAATACACAGAAATGATTGAAAAGGACTTGAGTGATTCAATTTAAACACAAGTGTTCTCCTGTGAAAGGCCATTTAGCTGATAAATAAGCTGACAACAAGGTATACAACTGCTGAGCTATGGTTTAGCCTAAGAACAATAAGCAGTCCATTTTTGATGAAGATTTGTACTTTTCATGTTGATACTCAAACTGATTTAAAAAAAAAAAGGGATGCACTCTTTCACTTAAAGGATGATTCTGTTCTACAACTAGCACTTAATATGTTATTTGTCATGTTTTTGCAGTAGCACAGCAATGCATCCTTCAACCTCATCTGTTTGAAAGACTTTGCAATTTTGCAGTAATTTTATGTATGTGTTAATCAGTGTTTTCTCACTACAATACCCAGCATGCATTACACAAACATGCTAACCCCCACAGCCATAGAGGAAATTCTGACTGCTGATGCAAAGGCTAATAAATACAGATGTGATCATCAGCCTTTTAGCAGCTATCTGCTTTCCTTCTGCATTCAGGAGCATGCAGAGAAAAAAGATAACATTTCAAACAGCTCGTCCTCATGTATCTACCCCAAAATGCTTGTGGTTTTTCAAAGGTTTCTCCCACCTTCAAAAGATATTATCAGAGGGGGTTTCCTAGTCTTAAACCACAACATCTCTAGATAAGACTATTGTGGAGCTGCTGTAGCAAGCAAGTAGACATGTAATGAGGGCTAAATGTTTAATTTTGGCCAGAGTACCCATTTAATGTGGATTTCACTTAGACTAAATTGAGTAAAAGGTTTCAGCAGACCACAGTATACTCACTGCAACAATCCTTTTCATGGCCTCCAGTTTCAGAGAGTCCTTGTTGCTGTCCAGCATCTCCTTCAAGTCATCATGCCTGAGGAATTAGAGCAAAATAACATTAGCACACATAGAATCTACAGTTAATCCATTATTTTCATGGCCATCATAAGCTCCACAACCCATTTCTCTCTTTGGCTCTTTTTTTCCTTGCAGGAAATCTCTTTATATTAGGGACACGCATTACTCTTAATAGAGGGAATAAGAATGACTAATGGAGATGATCAACCTATAACTTCAGCAAAGCAACTGCATTCATGTTCACAGAGACTGAAGACACAGCAAATTAATCTTGAGGACTGTAAATAGTTGTTCAATGCGCATGCTGTTTTAAAAGGCTTGTCCTGAGCTTTTCCAAGCTTCTCTTAGATCATATCATCCGCCTCCTCATCCTCCTGCATGAAGCCAGCGGAACAGACGAGTTAAATATGTGATGAACCTTAGCTTATTATACTGCAGGCCCTGAAACGGAGGAACAGACCGACAGACACACAGATATATTCTCTCTTACAAATTATAATTCTTCACTCTCTCTGATACACTCTAAGCAAGTGTGAGAGCAGATCTAGGGTGATTATGTTCAGGAAGTCGCCAGGAAGCAGTGAATGGAGATGACGGAAGCAGCTCTCTGTTGAAGTGATTAGCTCGCTCTCAGAGGCTGAATGGAGAGACAGATTTGAGAGTGATTTGTGCTCCACTGTGACAGACCTGAGACTTCATAGTGCTGGGATAAATAACCGTCTAATGACAAAGAGATGGCAGCACTCTCAGACAGCTACTAGTAAGAAGACAGAAATATCTGTGCTGTCTATAGCACAATAGCTCATGATTAAATGAGCCACCATTCAACTGAAACAAGACGTGATGATCTAGTGTGTCAGTGGGACAAAAAAACATAATGGTTTTTGACCCAACCTTGTTATTTGTGGCTTTCTCATTCAGATATGCGTATGTGAGAAGGGATCATAAAAGCCAACAGCACTGAGACTGCCTATATTAACAATGTTGTCTTAAGTTTTAAGAGGGGAAATCTAAGTTAATAACAAGAAGATGGTGATCTGCCTGTGAGTTAGACCAGGGTTGCCCAAGGTTAGCCCTTGAGCATGGCAGAGTTACCTAACCACACCCCCTCACCCTGGAAGAGAACGAACACGTTTTTTATATTATATGTAGATTTTACTTTAAAACTGTATTTTTGAAGCATTTCAGTCACAAAATAAAGTGTAATGTTATAAAAGTTAAAAAAATCTATCTACTTTATTTATGCTTTGTGTTTTTGGCCCTTGGTTCACCACAAAAATTGCACTTTGGAGTTAGATCAATCAGAAGCAACCAAACACTCATGTGCTATGTCCATCACAACACAAACAAAATTAACTGGCAGTCTGGCACAGTATGCAAAAGTGAATTTTCTCGTTTTCTTGGACAAAATAACAGGCCTGAACCTTCATTTACAGAAAATAATCACAACTAAAACCGCAGCTACAATATTGATCAGAAAAATTGTGATTGGATATCTTCTCCCACATTCAGCCCTCTGACAGGGGCCAAGAACTGTTCTTTCAGTAGTGTAATACTATTCAGCAGTAGTATTTTATTATTTATATTTTCTTAAAAAGTATATGGCATATTTATTACTATTGATAAGAACATCGGTGTAGGTGCTGATCAAAGGCTCGAACATTTTTATGAATCTTAATCTTGTACAGGAACCAAACACAAGAGAGCAAAGAGGGAAAAAAAGACTAGAGACTAATAAATGTGTTCTTTGTAGTCATTGATTTACAGAGAATCAGACCTTGCATGCCTCATGCGTGAATAACTTTCTAACTTCTCTCTAAGTCTCTAATCAGAGTATATGTTAGGTAATGAGACTCTGGAGAGCTAAGGAAAGGAAGAGCAATAGAAACAAAGAAAAACCGTGAGAGAGAGTTGAACTACGCCACAACTTACTCCATGTACTAGATTGTAGTGGTAGATTACAACATTTACAAGAAATCTTCAGCAGCATAGAAAATAACAGCTCCTTTACACTTATTGAATCCTGTATGACTTTATTTCTTGTGACTTAAAGAAACCTAAAGAAATTCTTCCTCTGGCATTTTACATCTGAATTTCATGTAACGTTCCTTCAAAATCTGCCATCTTTGATTTAAAGTAAATCCTCATAAACTCACAAGGCTAACAGTCACGTTGCATGCCACTGCCATTGCAAACAGAGAAGAACGTGGACCTTGATGTGAACGGATTGCTGGGCAGATGTGATCAAGGCTACAGCATGCTGTTCCAGGGTTTACTTGAAGATTACGTTAGGCCAAAGCTATGGCAACTCTATTTGAACTAATCTAACGAGCTCGTTCTCAGAAAGCAAGTTACTATAGCAACGGTATCTGAGTCAGTGCATTAGACACGAGCAGGTGATCAATGGAACCATTAGCCTTCTTCTCTATAGGAGTGGAAGTCACGGAAAAAATAAGAGGAATGACTCTTAACTCTGGAAGAAGTAGGCAGGAATAAAACTCTAAGTTACGTATGTACTGGGAAGTAGCCAACTGCTAACTACTACTTCCTGTCTTAAATGTTCACTTGCCTTTGTGAGCTGTTAATCATTTTGCCCCCCCCCAACTCAGTATATCTACACTGCAAATAATATACAGACATACAACTTGACTTTTCCACCAGCTGCTTTTTAATTGATGATGAAAGGGCTAACAGACATGGTCCAAATATATTTGGCTTAAAGTCTTTTTACATCCAAAGTCATGAATGTTTTTCCTTCCCTTGTAAAGTTCATCCCCAATATGAGTGCTATATAAGTGCTATCACCAAGGGTTGATGTTCCCCTAATGGCACTTTGGTATTGCAGCTTTGAGATAAGGAGCTGCAGATATTCAGAACCACCATAGGACAAAACCAGATGCAGAATACAGCAGAACAAAACTCTCCACAGCCTATTTCAAGCCAGGAAAATGAAAATTGCATGTTGAGTCATTCTGAGAAGCAGCTGTTCATCAGATAAACAAGCTGATACTTTTGGAACTTCAATTAGTCCATAATACTCATCAACATTTGCAAAACCCTAAAAGGAGGAGAGCAACAGGTCAGATTCTAGCAGTGCCAGTATTCTGCGTTCAGTATGCCAGGATTTCATTTACAAAATCTCAATTCACACAAGTCTGGTCTGATAATGATGCTGAGCTGCTCACTGCCTGTCCCTTCTGGGAGTTGGTAGCAATGACTTGCGTGATTTGAAAGAAAGACAAAACCAGTCTGCAGTGCAGGCTCATTTGTTAAGAGTGCTCTCTCTCTCTCTCTGTCTCTGTCTCCCTCCCTTCCTCTTTTTCCACTGATTTGTTCATGTGTCAGGTGGTAAGGCGCTGATGCTAGCTGACTGCCTGGTGCGTATGGGGGCGTACAGAGGGGAGCACAGAGGGGATCCGGGATGATACATACTCTGCCCAGATTCATCACCCAGAGGGTGGGCTTGGCCAGGCCCTACACCAGCCAGGATTCAGGGGAGAGGGTCTGGGCAAAAGTACAGTACCAGTCAATATTTTGGACACATCTACCTACTTGTGAAGAAAGTTCTTCTGTATATTTCACTCTTTTCTACTTTTTCCATCAATAGTGAAGGCATCAAAACCATGAAGTAACTCATTTTGAATTATGTAATGACCAAAAAAAGGGTTCATGAAATCAAAAGTTTCTTTTATTTTAGGTGCATCGAATCAACCACCATTTGCCTTGATGACTTGATGAGCTTTATACACTCTTACTACTCTCTCAACAAGCTTCATATGGGGCCACCAGCCATGCTTTTCCAACAGGCTTAAAGATGTCACACATATGCTGAGCACTTATTGGGTGCTGAAAATTATTTAACTGGATTTTTCTTTGATTTGGGAATAAATAATCCAATGCCATCCAATGACGTTGAGTTTGAAAAGATTCAGTGGTACTTTACATGTCTCTGAGGAAGCATGTGCTAGCCTTCACCTTTCCAGCGTGATAGCATCATGTGATAAGGGGAGACATATCTAGCAGGTGGGACTGGACTAAACAGGGTGAAAAAATTCAAAATTAAAAAAATATTTACAAAAAAAGTCAATCAAGACAGTCCAAACTTTTGACTAGTAGTATCTTTTTACAGCAATGTGAGACTACTGAGTGAGGGAACTCCACGATTGATCTTACAAAGTCCCACTGCAGCCTCATTTTCATTTTGCCTGTCCTAATTACGGTCCAGCTCCACCTCTGAGTAATGCAGGGGCTTTGCTGAAAAAGGTGTGAAAATATTTTAATTCTAACCTAGTTATTTTATCCTAGTGCTCTGAATGAGAACGAGATCAGAGAAATCATTAGAAAACATCACCATATGCCTCCACCAATTACGAATGAGTCAGATTGACTCCAAATCACACATCTACAAATATGATTACAACTAAAACAAAGTGTAATGGCAGTGAATAAGAGATGTTGATAGAGCATTCTACATTTGCTGGTGTCACAGTATGTTTGTCCCATTACTGGTTTGAATTTTAATAGCAGCACATTATTACAAGGCTTTTTCCTCGTTGGACACAATTTGCATAATTACAGAGAAGCCACATTTCAAACAGCAGTGACAAGTGCACAACTCTGATCTGAGACCAGCTTATCATCCTAAAAATTCCCACTGGACTTTGTGAGACTCTGCAGTGAGCCGCTCCTAGACCAGCAGACAGCCCCACTGACAGTAATTAGCAGAGAATGAGAGCGATGGAGACAGAGCGAGTGAGCAGAGGAGCTCAGGGAGAGGAGGCAAAGCGAAAGGCAGTGATGCTAAGAGATCAGAGATGATGGGCAGGGAGAACGAGTGAGAAGGAGAAAGAAGGAGGGAGGGGGGACAAATCTGAGACAAACATTGCGTTAAGTTCAAAGAAGACATCCCTCTATTTGTTGAACTTTCTGAAATAGAAAAACTGAAAATACTGTAGAGAAAGACATCTTTCTCTGGCTGCCAGAACTGCACAAGAATACCACAGCTTAAGGAATACT